TGACTCACAATCCCATCTATTTCTCTACTAAATAATTAAACAAAATTTGATTTCATAATTGTTTCTGGCTTCCTTAGTTTACCTAACAGTAGTTGTGGATAAGTTGGTCTTATTGGATTTTAAACACATACAAACTGCTATATATTGTTAAGATAGGTTTGCAATTAGCCATTACCCAGCAGAGTGTTGCTTTGATGTCACTTTGGATATAATGAAGTGTAAAAAGCAAAAAGGCAGGGGCCAGCACTGCTGTATAGTGGGTAAAGTTGCCACCTGCAGTGCCGGCATCCCATATGGGTGCCCGTCCGAGTCCTGGCTTCTCCACTTCCCATCTAGCTCCTTGCTATGGCCTGGGAAAGCAGTGGAAGATGGCCTAACTCCTGGGGCCCCTGCACCTGCGTGGGAGACCTGGAAGAAGCTCCTGACTACTGGCTTCAGATTGGCGCAGCTCCAGCTGCTGTAGTCAACTGGGGAGTGAACCAGCAGATGGAAGAGCCCTCTCTGTCTTTCTGTCTCTGTCTCTTCTCTCTCCTGTAACTCTTTCAAATAAATAAATAAATCTTAAAAAAAAAAGAATGTATCCATGACATTCCTTTAAAAAAAAAAAAAGAGGCAAACTGCAATGGTGACATACATGAGACTCATAAACACTGTGGTTAATAATTCTGCCACTTACTAGGTATATGATCTTGGTCAAGACTCTTACCCTCTCTGGGTCTCCATTTCCTCAAATGAAAAAGGCAATTCAAAAATCAAATGAGATAAAATAAAAGCATAGCACATAACAAAGGATTATCCAACATGCTATCTGTTGTTGTTATTATTAGAAACAATATAGATCAGATCTCCCACAAGGGAAACAGGATTTCCAAACCTCATTCTTCATTCTCCCTATACTTGTATTTTAATAAACACATATTCACAGAAATGGTTGAGAACACAAAGAAAACAGGACAAAATTTTGGTAAGTGCATTTAAAAGTATGATCCAAGACAAAGGCATGGACCAAAAAACAAAAGTCACAATTTAAAAAACCAGATGGGCAAGTGGTTGACAATTTCTCAGCAACATGGTAACCCACTGACCTGGAAAGGCAGGTTATCCGTGGTCAAGGACTAGTTAAGCTACTAGATTAACAATTATTATACAGGTGGATCCGCACAACATTCCCATCTTTCAGTTCCTTGATCTCTGTGGTGCCTATGATCTTTCTCTTCCACCTATCTCAGCCACCTACTGACAAGGCAGCAAACCCCGAACACCATTCTACTTTTTCTAGTCTGTCTGTTTTCCATTACCCAGCATGGCTATTTTTTTTTCTTTTTGGACAGGCAGAGTTAGACAGTGAGAGAGACAGAGAGAAAGGTCTTCCTTTTCCGTTGGTTCACCCCCCAAATGGCCGCTACAGCTGGCACGCTGCGCCAGTCCGAAGCCAGGAGCCAGGTGCTTCTTCCTGGTCTCCCATTGCACGGCTATTTTGTACCTTCTCAACACCCGGTAACCTTCCACTCAAACATTCCTCCTTACTTCTGATTTTGCCTCATAACTTTTTTTTTTTTTTTAAGGGAAAGGGGTTTTGATGGGGAAATCTGACAGCCCGGAGGGAAGGGGACAACTGACACTTTACAGTGAAAAAGAAGCAGTATCAAACAGAAACTCTCTCACCTCCAGCCCTGAATCTATCCGGATATCTGCAGCTCTACCCATAATCACTGCCTTGCTTTTTAAAAAAATTATCTTTTATTTATTTGAGGCACAAACACACATAGACAGTGGGAGAGAGTGAATGAGTGAAGGTGTCAAATTTGCACTTCTGTTGCACAAATGCTAATTTACCCCATGGAAAATATATGAGCGGCGTCCAATCCCCCAGTCTGATCGTCCACAGGCGCCGCACACCCACAGAGGCCTCCTAAATGTATTGCCGGACACATCCCGCGCATGCAACTGTCCTGAATGCGGGGGAAAAAAAAAACAAAAACACACCGACCTAACCAGCTGGTCGGCTGTGACAAAGCCACATGGGGGTCCAGGGGTGAGGGCGCGGGGGACGGCGGGCGCCGACCCGGGATCAGCAACCCATCCCGTCAGGGGGGCATGCGATAGTTCGTTCGCAGGGATGCACCACGCGTACCTGCCTTCGCTCGGTAAAATAATAACGGTGCAGTTAATTCTGACAGAAAAATCTCTTTTTTCCTACTCGCCATTACCAATAAAATGTGAGAAAAGGAGGAAAAAGAGGAGTTAGCGAGCGAAGAGAGATGTGCGATGAAAGAGTGAAGAAACGAGACGCGGAGGGGAAGGCGCCCAGGACTATCCCCGCGCGCTTGGGAAAGCAGCCCGGGAGTGCTTCGAACTGAAGGAAAACAAACGACCACAGGCCTGGAAACTAGGGAGAAACGGGCCCTACCTACGACTTCTTTAATAATCCTCGTCGGCGTGGGAGCGCCCCAGGCGCCCGGCAACCGTCGCAGAAACCACGCGCCACTGCGCGTGGCCCCGGGTGCGGTAGCGCCGCCGAGCAGCCGGGCCTGGGCGGCCGCGGGAGGCGGGACTAACGGCAGCGGGCGGGGCCGGAGGCGGCAGCGCGCTAGAGTGACGTCTGCCCGACCGCGCCTAGGGTGGGGCAGGTGCCGGGCCCCTGAGAATTCTGACGTGTTTTCGGTCTATTCACCTCTTTCCTTTCGCTGTGTCCTCCGAAAATTGACGTCTAGGGTTGTAAGAGTAAAGGGACAGAGCTGACGTTACCGGGCGTTTTAGGAAGGAGCGGCAGGGGCTGCACGTGCCGGAAGTAACTTAGCGGAACTCAGCGCACCGGTACGCCTAAGTCCTTGGAAGAAGAGCGAGTACCCGGGCTCAGCGTTTAGCAGTGGCGTGTGCTAGCTGTGGGACCGAAGCATTACGTAATGTGCCTGACGTTGTTTGCTCAGCTCCGAAGGCTGCGTTGTTGATGAGACGTGGAAAGCGTCTGGGGCAAGGCTCGGCACAAAGCAAACAGGAAATATACTTCTCAGTGTAATTCCCCGAACCTCTCTCCCTGGTGAAACAAGTGAACACAGAGCTGCTCTGCTTGGAGGTGCGCCCCACCAAGCTTCTTTAATAGAAGCCTCAAGTTTCCTGAGTTACACGAAAAACAATTGCTATTGGAAAAAGCCCAAGCCTGGTAGAAGACAAACTGTCTTTTCCTGTTTAACTTCTCTCCTGAGAGGCAACACAGCGTTCACTGCTGAACAATGTATTCTTCAGTGTTTTTTCCTAAAGTTATTTCCTCTACTGGGAGTGTATTCTTTCTCCCTTTCTTATTGGTCACGTAAGACCTGATTCCAGTTACAACTCTTTTTTGGGTGACTGAATAAATTATTTTTATTTTTTAAAATAACAGTTTCCTGCATTCAGTGTGGTATAGCTACCTCAGGAACAATTGAAAGTTAACTTTCTTCCTTGTTTTAGGAACATACAAGGGTCTTTGTGATTACAGAGCACAGGAATTGCTTCGTTCTCGTGGGAAAAGCAGGTAGATTCCCAAGGGCACTGGGAGTAGGGGGAAACGCCAGGGTTGGGAAGGAGGACGTCTGTGGGCATCCAGTGCCCTGCGTGGCACTGCTCTGTGCTCCAGATAAGGATGGACTCTGGGAAAGTTACATACTTAAGGTCCATCTAAACGGGAAGGAGGGAACATTAACAAATGAGTTTTGCAATTCTCACGAGATCAGAGGACAAAAGCTAGATTTAATTTGAATCAATTAAAAACTGCTATTGCTTTTAAAATGGCACAACTCAGCTTTCATCTGTTACAGAGAACAATATAAATAAGTTATATGGAAATGTAATGTTCTGGAACCAGCTTTGTGGCACAACAGCCTACAGCTGCTGCCTGCGATGCTGGCATCCCATCCCATATGGGTGCCATTTGAGTCCTAGCTGCTCCACTTCCAATCCAGCTCCCTCCAAATGGCCGGGGAGCATGGTCCAAATACTTGAGCCCCTGCTATCTGTGTGGGAGACCAAGATGAAGCTCCTGGTTCCTGACTCCGTTGTGGCTCAACCTTGGCCATTGCAGGCATCTAGGGAGTGAACCAGCAGGTGGACGATCTCTCTAAGGCCCCTACTCTCTGTAAGTCTTGACTTTCAAATAAACAAATACGTCTTCAAAAAAAAAAATCCTCTACAACATTTAAAAATAATGTCCATTTATTTGAAAGTAGCATAATGAAAATTTAACAGTGGTTTAAAAAATGATACATTTTCTTATAAACAATTATCAGTTAGTTAAAATAATTATATTTACAACATCACAGAAAGAAACATTTGAGGAAAAAGAACCTTATTCATGATATTTTTCCCACTATACTTGACATGAAAAGTTATAAAATATCTTCTGAAATCAATTCAATAAAATTTGGCCAATGATCTGTTTAGTTTGATTTCAGTGCCAACTTTCTTTTCTAATTTTCTCTCTCACCGTTTCTCTTTATGAACCTCAAGTGTAAACTACCTACTATGCTCCAGGCTTTATTGTTTTTAAACTTCGCTATTGTGCTTGTTTCCATCTTCACTTTGCTCTCTATTATTAAGCAGCCATCCAAATGCTCTGCATTCTGAAAGGTCCCATTCAAGTATTACCTCCTCCAGGAGAGTAGAGCATAGTATTGTTATGTTTTATTTTTTTAGACAGGCAGAGTGGACAGTGAGAGAGAGAGACAGAGAGAAAGGTCTTCCTTTTGCCGTTGGTTCACCCTCCAATGGCCACTGTGGCTGGCGCGCTGTGGCTAGCGCACCGCGCTGATCCGATGGCAGGAGCCAGGTGCTTCTCCTGGTCTCCCATGGGGTGCAGGGCCCAAGCACTTGGGCCATCCTCCACTGCACTCCCTGGCCACAGCAGAGAGCTGGCCTGGAAGAGGGGCAACCGGAACAGAATCTGGCGCCCCGACCGGGACTAGAACCTGGTGTGCCAGCGCCGCAAGGCGGAGGATTAGCCTAGTGAGCCTGGCGCCGGCCTGTTTTTTTTTTTTTTTTTTTTTTTTTTTAATCAATTTCCCCACTGGGAACACTTCTGAATGATTCATTTGGATGACAACCATTTGTACATGTTTTCTTGTAAGGTTCTTGAATTCAAGTTTTGTGTCTTAGTTATGTTTATATTCTCCATAGCATCAGTACTAGAATTCAAGTTTCATTAAAAGCAGAGCCATTGAATATCTTGTTTACTACTGTATGCTATCATACGTAGCATAATGCCTGGTGCATATTCAGTTAATAAGAGTATTTTGAGGGCGGGCGCCGTGGCTCACTTGGTTAATCCTCCGCCTGCGGCGCCGGCATCCCATACAAGCACCGGATTCTAGTCCTGGTTGCTCCTCTTCCAGTCCAGCTCTCTGCTGTGGCCGGGAGGGCAGTGGAAGATGGCCCAAGTGCTTGGTCCCCTGTACCTGCATGGGAGACCAGGAAGAAGCACCTGGCTCCTGGCTTCAGATCGGCGTATTTCCAGCCGTAGCAGCCATTTGGGGAGTGAACCAACGAAAGAAAGGCCTTTCTCTCTGTCTCTCTCACTTTCTATAACTCTAGCTGTCAAATAAATAAATATATATATATATATATATATATATAAACTCCATGATAGTAGGAATTTTTTTTTAACTTTTATTTAATGAATATAAATTTCCAAAGTACGGCTTATGGATTACAATGGCTTCCCCCCCATAATGTCCCTCCCACTCGCAACCCTCCCCTTTCCCACTCCCTCTCCCCTTCCATTCACATCAAGATTCATTTTCTTTTCTCTTTATATACAGAAGGAATTTGTTTCATTCATTGTAAAGTCTGAATGTTGCCAAATGAATAAATTATTTCTTGAAGGCTTAGCATTCATTATATACAATAAAAGTTCTTCAGTTTATAAGAGTACTTCAAATAGTTCATGGACAATGAATTTAAAAGATGAGCTTAGGGGCTGGCACTGTGGCTCACCAGGTTATAATGTGGCCTGCAGTACCAGCATCGCATGTGGTTCCAGTCCTGGCTGCTCTGCTACCTTTGTAGCTCCCTGCTGATGCACCTGGAAGACAGTAGAGAATGGCTCAAGTGGTTGGGCCCCTCCCACACAGGAGACCCAGAAGAAGCTCCTGGCTCCTGAATTCGGTCTGCCCCAGACCCAACCTTTGTGGCCATTTGTGGAGTGAACCAGCAAATGGAAGACTTTTCCTTCTCTCTCTCTAACTCTATCAAACTAATAAAAAAAAATCTAAAAAAATAAAAATGAGTTTAAGGGTGAACATTTAGCCTAGTGATTAAGATGCCAGTTAGGGCATCCGCATTCCATATCAAAGTATCAGGGTTCAATTCTGGGCTCCTGCTTCTGACTCCACTTTCCTGCTAATAAAGACACTGGGAGGTAGTGGTGATAGCTCAAGTAATTGGGTTTCTGCCATCCACATGAGTGAATGAGAGGCAAATCCCAGCTCTGGCCATTGTGGGCATTCTGGGGAGTGAATCAGTGCCTGGGAGTTCTTTGTGTCTCTCAGCCTCTCAAAAAAATGTTTATTTTCATGCAAAGAATTCTGACATCCATATGTAGTTTTTTCATGATATACATTTTGTCATGAACTACGAGAAAATCTCTTTTACGCATAGATTTCAGAAACATTTGCAACAAAGTGAACTTGTATTTTCAATTTTTCCATAAACTTTTTGAAGTGCCCTCATATATCTTCACAAAAATTAAATATAAAGCATTTATTTTTTTAGCCAATTAATTCAGTAGATGATATATATTTTTTAAAGATTTATTTATTTATTTGAAAGGCAGAGTTACAAACAGCCAGAGAGCCAGAGAGCCAGAAGCAGAGAGAAAGAGAATTCTTCCATCTGTTGGTTCACTCCCCCAGTGGCTGCAATGGCTGGAACTGGACAAACCCGAAGCCAGGAGCCAGGAGTTTCTTCTGGGTCTCCCACGTGGGTGTAGGGGCCCAAGCACCTGGGCCATCTTCTACTGCTTTTCCAGGGCATAACAGCTAGATTGGAAGTGGAGCAGCTGAGACTTGAATCGGTGCTCATATGGTATGTTGGCACTGAAGGTGGCAGCTTTACCCTCTACGCCACAACGCCACAACGCCGACCTGGATGATGTATCTTTCTATGAATGATATATGCCCTAATACTGCAGGAGTATAATGTAAAAGCATCAAAATAAAATGGGTATTAAGAGTAGTTTTGGATTGGATTAAGATGGCAGAGTAGGGAGGGAGCTTACTGCTCTCCTCTAGAAGATAGTTTAAAAAAAGTGGGGAGAGTGCAGTCTCAGGGAGGAGTTAGGGAGAAAATGAAAGAGGAAACTCCACGAAAATTACAGGGACACAGAGGACCTACATGGAGGGAGTGGGCACACACAAATCAGGACCCCAGCAGCTGAGAGCCTCCACACCAGCTTTGGAGAGAGAGGTGAGACCAGGCTGCAGCAGCCTAAGTCACTGGCAATAAAGCTACAGGAAAAGTTGGGAGGCAATCTGGCTTGGAGCCCTGTGGGGCATAGTGGAGGAAAAAAGGGGGGGGGGGCACGTTACTCTCACCCTGATCACCATGCAATGCTGTTCTGTAACAAGCTGATATGGAGTGGGCACCATATTTGACATCCATAACAGGCTGCACCAGCTCTTATCTTCACTTAGCAACTAGCTGAGCAGATTCCTGAGTTGGGCAGGGAGAACTGACAGGGGGCTGGGTGCTTGTGACTGTGGGAGGCTTGTGTCCCAGGACTGTGAAAACACTGACTGTGGGGCTTTGAAAACACTGAAGCTGTGTGGGAAGGCTCAGGGTATGGCTGGGACTTTGGGCAGTCACTGTGGGAGGCTCCACACGCTCAGGGATCTCTGGTTCCCTGGTGAGGGACATTGCTGGGGAATCTGCTTACACCGAGGACTGCACAGATCCTTTGTGTGGTCCTTGTGGAAGTGCAGATGGATATTATACCCACTGGGGCTAGCGGCCAGGCACTGGTCTCCTTTGAGGAGAGGAAATGAGCTGAGTCTATGCCAACAGAAGAAAACTGTCGCCTCTGATTAAAAAGAGAGAGAGAGAGAGAGAGAGATTTACCATGCCCAACCTGGGTGTTGCTTTAAAACTACCTTCACCCTGGAGCATTGAAGAGAACTCCCTGGCCACACCCACCAAATGCCTTTAGGTATTCTCTGATATCAGACACTCCACTAATCCATGCAGACTAGTGCAAAGATAAAAGAACCACAGCAAAAAACAAAAACAAACAAAAAAAGGAACAAAAACAAAAACACACACCAATTCAAGAAACAAGAATAAGGAATACAACATGATGCCCCCAAAAGAATAAAACACTTCAATACTAGATTGTGAAGATGAAGAATATCGACTGTTGAGGAATAGTTTTTGTTTTTGTTTTTTTGGACTGTGCAAATTGTTGTTGAACTTTTTTCTTAGTATAAAGTTGGTCTTCTGTGTATAAAGTTAATTCAAAATGTATCTTAGTGGGAATGGGAGAGGGAAGAGGAGGAGTGGGAGGGCGGATATGGTGGGAAGAATCACTATATTCCTAAAGTTGTACTTACGAAATGCATGAAGTCTGTATTCCTTAAATAAAAGTTTTCTTTGAAGGGAAAGATAAATAAATTAAAAAAAAAAAAGCAGCAGGAGGAGCTCACTAGTTGAGGAACACTTTTCTTTCAGGTCTTTGTACCGACTTTCTGCAGGTAATGAAACCCCTGATCCCTGCCTGTCCATGGCCTTTTCCTTCTGAAGAAGGTCCTCCAAGCTGCTTCTCCTCTGCTCTTTTCATCCCTTCACTCTTTAAAAATAAAACTGTTTTGCTATATAAAAAAAGGGAGTTTTAATTTTCTCCCTTGTAGTTTTCTGTGTTCTAAATGTTCTGCAATGGAAAGAAACTATTTTGTAATAAAAATTCTAATTTTAAAACTACGTAATGAATGAGTATCTGCAAATGTATGAGGAAATTTTTAGGACATTCAACTTAATAACAGAGAAATACTGGAATGTGTCAAAACAAAGTGTTAAAGCTTAAACAATCTGCCTAGAAAAACATACTTCTCAGAATGGACAGCACCAACCCTAGGCAAAACAACAGTGTTGAACAAGAATTTGCAATGTTTGTTTAGCACTATCACTGAAAATATGACACTTGTGTTATGGATTGAATTATGTTCCCTCAAATTCACATGCTGAAGTTCTAACTCCCCAGTGTGATGATACTTGAATGTCGGGATTTGGAGAGGCAATTAGGTTTACATGACATTATGAGGGTAGATTCCTCACAATGAGATTAGAGTGGTCTTATAAGACACACCAGAGTGTTCCCTCTCATCTCCAACCCCTCTCTCTCTCCCTCCCACACACACACACACCCACACACACGTGAGGACACAGTGAGAAATCAGCCATTGACAAGCCAGGAGAGACCTTTCCAGAGCTGGAGCGTGATGCCATCCTATCTTGAACGTTCAGCTTCTAATAAGTTTCTGTTGTTTAAGTCACCCAGTCTGTGGTATTTTGTTAAAGCAGTCCAAACTGACAGACAGATTCAGCAAATGAATATCAGAACTGCCATGGAGCAAGTATTTTCTGATACTGGAAAATCACCTCACTGATTCAGTCAGTTAGCATTTAGTAAATGCCTACTGTGTTCCTTGCCCTGTGCAGAACACTGAGGATTCAAAGATGCTCAAGGGGCCAGTGCTGCAGCGTGGAGGTAGGGCTGTGGCCTGCAGTGCTGGCATCTCACATGGGCTCTGGTTTGAGTCCTGGCTGCTCCACTTCCCATCCAGCTCTCTCCTATGGCCTGGGAAAGCAGTAGAAGATGGCTCAAGTCCTTGGGGACCTGCACCTGCATGGGAGACCTGGAAGAAGCTCCTGGCTCCTGATTGGTGCAGCTCCAGCTGTTGCAGTCATCTGGGGAGTGAACCAGCAAATGGAAGACATCTCTCCCTCTCTCTCACTCTGCCTCTCTGTAAACTCTGCCTTTCAAATAAATAAATAAATCTTACAAAAAAAAAAAAAAAAAGGATGACCAAGACAAAGTTCCTGCTTCTAAGGAGCTGATATTTTAGAAGATAAACAAACTGAAAAAAGTGTTTTATTTGCTCTAACAGGGAACTCAAACGTTTGAGTAACTGTTTGTCTAAAGTTGGGTCGCAGTATGTTCCTTCAGTACTCTATCATGTTAACTCTGAGTTCATCATGGAAGATAGACTTTATGACATTCCAGTGGTAACAAATCTGAGGCTTCACAAGCTGAGCCCTGCAGAATGGTTTGCCTTTTCCAGTTTGACTTCACCATCTCCACTACCTACAACAGCAACAGTCTAGCAATGAATACATTCTAACAGAGAGTATCTGGCAATGGGCACAGATTTCAGAGATCCTCTGGTGGGAGTCAAAAGACTAGTACAAGACATAGATACTTAGATGGTGGCTGTTAATGAGGAGAGACAGGAAAGAACCAGTTCCATGCAGCTACAAAATGGTATAGGTTGTCAGCGGTGTCTTATAGTGCCCTTTACTCATTTCCACACACTAGATTCATTTCTATTTCTTCTCTGGGGCTACAAATATGTTAATAGCATTTCAATTTAGTTGAACTGTAGACGTTAACATGTATTCAAAGCCTTTTACTTGGAGAAAATGCTACTGATGACATGGCACACAGACTAACTGCATCTACATTGGCTTCACATCCCTTTTGCTGGCCAAATCTTAATCATCCCTTAACCAAAGGCCTACTTCTCTGGGAAACTGTGCCTTAATTGCACCACTCCCCATTCCCCACCAGGTTAATTAGGTGACCCCGCTGTGAGCTCCCTGTAGTTCCTACACAATGGCACTTATATTGCTTTACAATCTGCATCTGTCTCCTTTATAGACTGTCAAATTCTTAAGGACAGGAACAGTATGAGTTCTGATGATATGCCTGGGTTACCAAAGGCTCTCAGAAAATACCATTGGCCCTCCATAAACATGGGTTCCACATCCATAGGTTCCGCAACCAGGGATTTAACCAATTGTGGTTCAATTATATTAGGGAAAAATTTCTAGAAAGTTCCAAAAAGCAAAACTGGAATTCAGTACTACACTGAACCCATGTAGCTGGACACTCACAAAACTGAAAGGATGTGCAGGCATTGTATTAGGTATTATGTGTGACACAGAGATGATTTAAAGTGTACAGGACAATGTGTTTAGATTATATGCATTTTGTATCAGGGACTTGATTATCCATAGGTTTTGGTATTCATGAGAGGCTCTTAGAACCAATTTCCCACTGATACTGAGAGACAACTGTATTTGTTGAATAAATCTAGTTGTAGAAAAGTGGAAGAACAAATAATCATTAAGTTGATGATGCCCCCATTGTATGTAACTTTTGAAGTCCAATTTGAAACATCTATCTGACCTTTGGAATAAATTAATCCAGTCCAAACTGACATTATCGAACCACAGAGCAACCAGATTGAGGGTGACACAAAAATGAAGCCTGCTTGGAGAGGGTGAATATTCAGCTAGCTTTGAACAGAACTGTCTTAGTGGAAGAGCCTGAGATCGACGTTTAATGAAGAGAGACGTTTTCTGCAGATCAGCTAGGTGGGATAAGAATATTCATATTTCATTCATTTAATACATATTTAATAGTTACCTCAAAATTAGATTGAACTGTGAATTTTAACTTAAAGAGTTTAGATGGGATATGATAAGAAATAATAAATACTTCAAGTATACATATACATAATAAAAGCCATAAACTCTTCATCAACACTACTGTTCTACAACCAGAGAAGACATGGGTAATACAAAAAAGCAGAAATGGACTGTTACAAAGTGGGATAAAATATAATTCACGCAGATAAGCCTCTCTTCTCATATTTTCTCTGCTGGCATGTCACAAAGTTTGAAATTCCTGCCATATAAATCACTCTTTTTGGTTTAGGTATTGTCTTTAAATAATGAGTTACTAAATCACGGTAACATCCAACAAAAATGTTGTTGTTCTGGCCCCCAAATTTGACCTTCTATTCTTCCCAGAGATACTGACGCTTAGTGAGAGTTTCTGTTCAGCCTCTACACAGCTGGAAATAAGCATCCTCAATAGAAGGAGGGGAGAGAGATGTGTCCAACTTCCACATCACTTCCTTAAAGGTAAAGTGTTTCACACGTCCTTTCTTGTTTTCCTTCATCTGGAAGGGTAGAAAGAAAACATGGTAGAGGACCACTTTTCACCTGCATGCTAAACTAGGGCCCAGAAAAAGTTCATGATAGAAAGACACGCCAGCATCCAACAACCAGCTCGTTTTCTTTCAAGCACAGTGTTTTTTTTTCTATTCTATTTTTCTATTCTATCTTCCTTCAAGCACTCTATTTTTTCTTCATCACAGCAGATTGTCTAATCCTAATTAATTTAATATTGATGAGGCTTGCAAAGATTTGAAAATAAGCTGTCTTTCACCTGAAGAACTGAAGAATCTGAACATGTTCATCACAAGGAATGAAAAAATAAGGGCTAATCAGGGTATGGGGAGCAACCCGGATTAGACTAAGTTACTGGAATTAAGACTTATTCTATGCATCTGCTCTCCCACAATATGGCGCTGAGAAGGGAGAAACAGCTTCTACACAGCTGCCTCCAGTTCAACCAATAAACTGTAGGACCTGCTCCTGATTGGAGGAGAGCAGCGTACTCAGCGTGTGGGTAGCAGAGTTGGGACTGGTGGTAGAGGTCTATAAAGGAGGAGAGAGACAACATGCACCAGGAACATCTAAGGGGAACATCTATCTGAAGGAACACCTGAGCAGCCCCCGAGAGAGCCGGCCGGCGGTGTGCCGCTCCCCCGCGGAAGTGGGGAAAGTGGCTAGGGGGAACCGCCCTTCCACGGAGGTGGAAGGGATGGTAGCCAACCCGGGAAGAACCAGCAGCAAACTCAGGGAGGGCCGAGCAGACGAAAGAACAGCGCAGGGTCCTGTGTCGTTCCTCCACGAAGAGGGGGAGCGACACAGGGCACTCCCACAGAGAAGGAAGATTCAGAAGGACCACTGAAACAGCACTCTTGAGTAGTCAGCTAAGAGATAGGATCAGGTAATTTTTTTTTTTTTTTTTAAGACTGATTTACTTAATTGAAAGGCAGAGTTACAGAGAGAGAGGGAGAGAGCTTCTTTTTATTGGTTCATTCCCCAAATGGCCTCATTGGGCAGAGGTGGGATTGGTAGAAGCCAGGAACATCATCAGAGTCTCCCACTTGGGTTGCATGGTACCAAATACTTAGGCCATCTTCCACCGCTTTCCCAGACACATTAGCACAGAGCTGGATTGGAAGTAGAGCAGTTGGGACATGAGTCGCTACCCATTTGGGATGCAGGCATTGCAGGTCGCTTTTGTTGCTATACCACAGCACTAGCACCAGGATAAGGTCTTCTGACATCTAGACAGGGCAAGAGCAAGAACCAATTAAAATACTTCATGTTCTTTAAAATTTTGGTGGAACCAATTATAATTCACAGAAAGGAGGTAAAGTAGAAATGGAGAAGAGGCAGATTCATAGGGAAAGTGAGGACAGAAATTGATGGACTACATTATGTTGTTTAAAAAACAAGATGCATAGTCAAAAACAGTTCTAGGCATGAGAGCCCATATGACCATAAATCATGAACCTGGCTAACTGAAGAGGATGCTGTACTTGGTTTTTCAAAGTTAATTTTAAATTGTGATAGTATGTGAACATAGATGTAAGTATACCCTTAGAAATCAAGAAAAATAATGAAGTAATATTAAAAAAACAAAGTGACAGACTGAAGGTAGAGGGATTGGAGGTAGATGACAGAGGTTTGGAGATGCAGAACATTAGCCCTCACATAGTAAGGGGAAGCACTAAAAATGTTTCAAGAAATAGTACTCTTTGGTTTTATTACATTTTAAGCTTGAACATTATTACATATTTCAATATTCACTTGATAAGAGCAGCCTCTGGCAGCTGTTTTCTAATCATTATGTTTGGCATTCTCTTTTCACCTCTAAGCTTGTGTAGAAGCTTCTCCTTCAACGTCATCTTTATTTTGATGTTCAAGTTTCTGAAGAAGTCTAGGGCCCAGCAAACCAATAAGTAGACTTCCAATTGGGGCTGTGATGAGGATGGCCAAAAATGCCACTGTCAACACATCCATTCCATAATCTTCTAATTGTTTGTCTCCATGTGATCTTGCTGTATCCAAAGCCACAGATCCTATTGCAGCCTATAAAAGTTTAGGAGTAAAGTTAGAAACATCATAAGATAAGCATATATAAAATATTGAATGATTTTACTGTTTGCAGAAACAAATTGCTTACTCTTTTAGTCAACCAAAGAAGTTCTATGAGCTTCCTTCCAAAGTGTACTGCAGTTTGTTTGGATTATCTAAAAACTCTCCCTGCCCTTTCTTGGAGACAAACTGATGATTCAAATGTACGTGTTTGCATAGGGTAGGGCTACATAAATATCAAGCAAGTACATTTCACAACACATGGCAGATACAGACTCACAATATGAATTAAACACAGCATGATGTTCCTATATACTAAATTTCTCCTGAGTAAAGATGAAAGTCATTGTGTCATTCTTTTATCTTTAGGAATCTGGAATTAAGAATAAGACACAAAGATGCAGAGATACCTATTGGAAGACGAAAAAGTTTTAAATAAGTATTGCTTTAGAGACTAAACTAATTGTCACCTATCATCAAAGTGGTGGGCTCATTTAAATCTTGAAGTTAACTTAGGCTTTTGATTAATTCTTTGCTTCAGGAGTTGGTGAAATGTTACATTTAAAATGCATCTGTGGAAGGGTAGGTTTTCAGTCTAGCTGTTAAGATAACTGGTAAAAGGGTCCAGTGTTGTGGTATAGCAGATTAAACTTCCGCCTGCAATGTCAGCATTCCATATGGGCATCAGTTCAAGTCCTGGCTGCTCCACTGCCTATCTGGTTCCCTGCTAATGTGCCTGGAAAAGCGCAGAAGATAGCCCAAGTACTTGGGCTGCTGCACCCATGTCAGAGACCCAGATGGAGTTCCAAGTTCCTGGCCCAGCACTGGCTATTGCAGCCATTTGGGGAACGAACCAACAGACGGAAGATTCTCTCTCTCTCTTTCTCTCCACATCCTCTCTGTAATTCAAATAAATAAATAAATTTTAAATATATATATATATATAAACAAATATATACTGGTAAGATATCCACATCCCATATTGGAGTACCTGGATTTGATACCTGGCTGATTCTTGACCAGTTTCTTTCTAATGCAGACCCAGAAGGCACAAGGCAACAGTGAAGGCTCAAGTAACTGGGTTTCTGCCACTCATGTGGAAGACCTGGACTGAGTTTCTGGATCCTCTCATTGGGACCAGGACAGAACCAGCCATTGCATTTACCTGGGGAGTAGACCAGCAGATGGGCACAGGTACTCTCTGACTCTGTCTCTGCTTCTCAAATAAATAACTTAAAAATATATTTATTGAAAAATATGACAAAAATTTTCATGTAATTTTAGAGGCAATATACAATACTTTCAATGCACATGTGGGGAAAATCTAGTAATCAACCTAGTTATCACTTATTGTACACAGCAGAACAATGCTGGCCTGTAAAACAATGAAACAGAGGAAAATATCAATGTACTCTGGACAGAATGTCAGAGACTACTAGTTGCCTACAGATATTTAAATGTCCTTTTTCCTTCTTTAATAAAACTCCCAAGTTTTAGCTGGTCACACTACTGTCCAGAGGTATTTTTTTTAATCCAGCCTCTTTTGCAAATAGATGTAGCTGTGTATCTAACAATTAAGGGGAGAGTGGAGGTGATAAATACTACATGTAGACTGTAACCTGAAAAGGCATGGACACATCAACCTTATTACTGGATGAGAAAAAGGGAAGTCAGACCCAGGGATGGAGGGCACATGCTGGGGACGGTGTTCACATTGTGGCTCTGGAGTGCCCATGCTAGATTGCTGAGACAGAAATAAACATTTTTCTCATTTCGTCTCTGTGTATTGGGTGCTCTATGTTACTGCAGATCACGTCCTGCCATAACTGATTCCACATTTTATGAATTTGTGACAAGAATTGCCTAACACACATTGCTCTTTTTTTGTATGTATGTCTTAGTGTATGTATATATGTTGAATCATGATTTTTTTTAAAGATTTATTTATTAATTTGAAAGAGTTACACAGAGACAGGAGAGGCAGTGAGCGAGAGAGAGGTCTTCCATCTGATGGTTCACTCCCCAGTTGGTCGCAACGGCTGGAGCTGCGCCAATATGAAACCAGGAGCCAGGAGCTTCTTCCAGGTCTCCCACATGGGACCAGGGGCCCAAGTACTTGGGCCATCTTCTACTGCTTTCCCAGGCCATAGCAGAGAGCTGGATTGGAAGTGCAGCAGCTGGGTCTCAAACCAGTGCCTAAATGGGATGCTGGTGCTTCAGGCTAGGGCGTTAACCCGCTGTGCCACAGCACTGGCCCCTGAATTGTGATTATATTTCTCATAGCAGTCATGGATAAAAAATTTTGACAAACACTAATAGAGAGAAAATTTATATATATGTATACATACATATATACATAGACATATGTATGTTTTATTTCTCATGAAGTGACAGGAGAAAAACCAAATTCTATATAATACTTGCTTCCAAAGAACACGTATTATCCAACACATGTTAGATAATTGCTCTATATCTTAAAATTTGTTTTGGTGGTAGAAAAGTGCTGTCATTCAAACTTCAACAGTTAGAAACAAATTTTGGGGCCAGTGTTGCAGCATAGTGGGTAAAGCTGCTGCCTGCGACGCTGACATCCCATATGGGAGCTGGTTTGGATCCAAGTGCTCCACTTTCAATCCAGCTCCCAGCTAATGTGCCTGGGAAAGCAGTGGAACCCTGCTTGGAACCCTGCACCTATGAGAGATCCACAAGAAGCTCCAGGTTCCTGGCTTCAGGTTGGCCTAGCCACGGCCATTGTAGCCATTTGGGGAGTAAACCAGTGGAAGGAATATCTCTCTGTCTCTTCCTCTCTCTGTGTAACTCTTTCAAATAAATACATAAATCTTAGAGAAAGAAATCTTTGATACATAAGCATGTATAGTCATTATTTTGATACTTACCTATTAAAGTTATTAAATGTGGAAGCTGGAAACACTGTGAGGTTGGAACTATTCCATTTATTGTACTACACATATTATTCTCACAATACTTTTAGTCATTATCCCAGATATTTTTGGAAGCTTGATGGAATAATTTCTCTGGAATAACTTTCAAGCCCACAGTCACAGAAATTGTGGAATATAGGTACAAAACATAAACACCACCAAATGCCTCCTGAATTAAGAACATCTGATTTACATTTAATAATAGTATAAATTTACATATTTAAATAATTATAAAATAATCAGAGATAGAAGTGTTAAATCTTGTTTGATGTAATTTGTCTAAAAATATATGATATAAATGGGAAAAACAACTATTACAGTTGGAAAAATCATAATCTACATGATTCTAACTTAATTAGCAATTACAGGTATCCTACCAAATGCATAAACAATTTGATGTAGTTATCTGTAAGTTCTTTATTACTTGTAGTTTGGAGTGTACAAATATTGGGTCAAGTGACTGAAACATATTTCTGGAGGTTCAGCTGGTTCCGCTCATCCCCCATAACCAGAAGGAATGTGTTTCAAGACCCTCTGTGGATACCTGAAACCCAGGATAGTACTATAGCCCAATATATACTATGAGGTTTTTTTATTGATTTTAGAAATTTCACTTTTTTTCCCTAAAGAAAGCACTTTGTGGCTTTTCCTTGTCACATACTAATTGCCAGCAACAATACTCTTGTGCTTTGGGGCCATTATCAAGTAAAATAAGTCCTACTTGAACACAAGCACTGCATACCAAAACAGCTGATCTATTAACAGTTGATCTATTGACTAACAAGCAGGTAGAACATACTGCATGGAAACACAGGGATGACTCATGTTCTGGGTGGGATGCAGCATGGCAGCGTGAGATTCCATGATGCTACTCACTCAGAATGGCACACAATTTAGAACTTTTGGATTCCTTCCGGAATTTTTCATCTAATACATCAGTAACTGAAAGTGCAGGAAGCAAAACCTTGGATATGGGGGGCTAGTGGAAATAATTTTCTAAGTTGTTTTTCAAGAAATTACTTTTCTCTATTATATATAAGACTCTGGTTCAGCATAATTGATTATCAATCAAATTCACATTGAAATATTTTCAAATATCAAGATAAACCACACTATTTTGTTTTATTCTCCACTTTGAAGATGTTGAAAAGAGCTAAAAACTCTCTCTTTGGGTAATTTAGAGAGTGCTGATAAAAATGTCAAGCCTTTTCTCCAGCTACAACTACTTCCCTGTAGTACAGGGATTTATAGGATATTTAGTTATATTCTGCTGAGCAATGAAATTTAAATGAACTATCATATTTAAGGAATTGATATACTCAAAACTTTTAAAGAGCAGATTAGTCTAAATACTTTTTATAAATTAAACTTCAGTTATCTACAGTCATCAAATGTAAACAAACCCTTTTATTCAATATTTCAAGGTATCAACATAGAAACAGCAGTTAAAATGCTAATCGATCCTATCCATCATTACCTGGACTGTGGCCTTTGGAAGCCATGCAAAGGAAATAAATATCTTTTCCTTTATGTTAAAACCAGCAAAACACACCATCAGATATGTGGCCAGAATTCGTATCAATACTGCAATGCCCAGGGTGGCAACACAAAATCCTGTAAAAAATACTCAATTTTTAGAAATAATGAAGTACTAGAGAGAAACTGCATCTCATGGTTACTGATTCAAAATACTATCAACAAAAATAACAAAAAATAAATTAAAAAAATTTGGGGGGAGGCGGCACTGTTGTGTAGTGGGTAAAGCCAAAATGCCTGTAGTGTCAGCATCCCATATGTGTGCTGGTTCGTGTCCTGGCTGCTCTGCTTCCAATCCAGCTCTCTGCTAAGGCCTGAGAAAGCAGTGGAGGGTGGCCTAAGTCCTTGGGCTCCTGCACCCTTGTGGGAGACCTGGATAGAAGCTTCTGTCTCTTGCCTTCGGATCAGCCCAGCCCTGGCTGTTGTGGCCATTTGGGGAGTGAAAGCACAGATGGAAGATCTTTCTTTCTAAGTCTCTCCCTCTCTCTGTAATTCCGCCTTTGAAACTAATAAATAAATCTTAAAAAAGCAAGATTAAAAAATTCAAAACCCAAAAATGTTTAGACAAAATTTATCAAAAACTCAGTATTAAGGATCAATCAGAACATTTGCTTAAGATAAGGTGTTTCCTGTTTCCCCTAGATTAATATCAGATATTAATTAAATATTTTACAAAAATGACTTGAATATTATCTCTCTTATGCTTTATGATAAGAATCACATTTTTTTCCAGTTAAAGTTTACTAAATGATACAGTGCATGACAAGCTTCAAGCTAGGGACAGCACACACAGAACTGTGCACTGTACAGAAAAGAATGGGAAATCAAATGGAAAAGGGCTGTGGGCAGAAGTGAAATTAAGTATGGGGCCATATATAAGACTTCCAACATTATTTTAATTTTAATACATATTATTTTTAATTGTAAAATGCACATAACATTTATTACCTTAAACATTTCTAACTGTATGGTTCAGTAGCATTAAGTATATTTACATCATCGTGCAACCAATCTCTCCAGAACTTTTCTATCTCGCAAAACAAAAACTCTGTAGCTATTAAACAACTACACATACCCCCCTGTGTAGTCCCTTTTTACTCCTATCTCTGACTGACTACATTAGATACCTCATGTAAGTGGAATCATACAGTGTCAGCCTTTTCGTGACTGGCTTATTTCAATTAGCTTTATGTCCTCAGGGTCATGTGCACTGCAGCATGTGTAAGAATGGACTTCTCTCTCTCCCTACACACACACACACACACACACACACACTGACTTTAAATTCTGAAGAGAAGAAAACTATAACAGGGATATTTAAAGATGTATGACAGAAAGGGAAGTATCTAAGTATGAGATTCAGAAGGAGGCAGCAAACAATAGGATTCCTAATGACAGAAAAATACTATGATGGGAGGAAAGGAAGAAATAATGAGGATATGCACAGAAACAAAGTGCAGTGCAGTGTTTTCAATCAAGAGAGTTTTAATGTGATTTTTAATGTGTGAATAAATAAGAGAATGAATGAACAGAAAAATTTTTTTATTCCATTTTATTCTATTATAGAACTATCTTTAAAATTCTGACCATTCATCAGAAGTAAACTTGATGAACATTCATGTCCTTGGGGAAATTTTTTTAAAGAACTGACTTGTCTGAATAATGGTCAGCAATGTCGTTTTTCTTTGCTAATTTTTAAAGCATTCATTAATTTGAAAGGCAGAGTTACAGAGAGAAAGAGAGAGAGAGAGAGAGAGAGAGAGAGAGAGAATGTCTTCTATCTGCTGGTTTATACCCCAAATGGCTGCAACATCAGGAGCTGGGCTGATCTGAAGCCAGGAGGCAGGCGCTTCTTCCAGGTCTCCCACCTGGGTGCAGGGGCACAATACTTGGGCCATCTTCTGCTGCTTTCCCAGGCACATTAGCAGGGAGCTGGGTCAGAAGTGGAGCATCCATGTGGATGCCGGAACTGCACAGCACCAGTTCCATTGCTTTTCTTTACAAGGAACAGTATTACCTGCATAAAACTGACTGTCTTACATTAACCAGAATTATTTTCTAACCAACCACTCTAAAAGATTTAGATCATAGTTAATTTTTTATGTCATTGCAACAGTGGGAACCATATACCTACTGGAACTATTTCAACTGACTATAAAAAGAGTTGATCTTAGCAAAGGTACCTCTTTGAAATTCTTACCAACAGTTTCTGGCTTGAGAGATGCAATGGATACTTCTGCTCCAATCAGTCCAAAAAGAAGGGGCTGAAAAATATCCCAGGCAACTGCCACAATTGCTTCAACATCTTCCTAAAAGAAAAACAAACAACAAAACATATACAGAAATTTTTAATATATGAAGTTACAAATCTAAAGCATTGGGCTGGCGCTGTGGTTCACTTGGTTAATCATCTTCCTGTGGCACCACCATCCCATATGGGTGCCAGGTTCTAGTTCTGGTTGCTCCTCTTCCAGTCCAGCTCTGCTTTGGCCCAGGAAGGCAGAGGAGGATGGCCCAAGTGCTTGTGCCCCAGCACCTGCATGGGAGACCAGGAGGAAGCACCTGGTTTCTGGCTTTGTATTGGCATAGCTCCAGCTATAGCAGCCATCTGGGGGATGAACCAACGGAAGGAAGACCTTTCTCTCTGTCTCCTTCTCTCACTGTCTAACTCTATCTGTCAAATAAAAAAAAATTCAAAGCATTTTACTATATTGAAATTTAAATAATTTTACCTAAGATGGGCTTTATTTTTGTAGCATCAATAAATAAGAGATTACTTGGAACATAGAAAAAAATTCCTTGAAGACACTTTAACAGTTAAGATACATGGTGCACAGTAGCATATTAAGTATTAGTTGCAAATGGATGTTATTTATAAAGATTCTTATACAGTATGTTAATTATAAGGATTCTTATATGATTCTTACATAGACATGTATCTCATTATTGCTGCAAATTAACCTATGGCATGGAAGTATGTAGTGTATTCAATCATTTCATTATTGACTGGCCTTTAAGTTATTTCCAATTTTATCTTTACAAAAATAATATTTAAAGTTATATCAAGTCATACGCAAAAATAAACCTGGGTATAGTAAATCACTGAGCCAGTTACCAATTTATTGCCCCTTGGCTACAATTCTTTCATTGAGCTTGATCTTTTTCAGTACTTCTTTTTGCCAGTGAGTGCCATGTTAAACTTTGTCAGTAAGGAGCGTTAGTTAGAGATAGCAGGATCCTACAGCAGGCACTGGTTTCTTCAGTACTGGGTTAGCCCTGGGGGCTTCTCCAGTGTCAGGCTCCTGCAGTCCAAGGTGGCCAGCAGCACCTAGTGGCCAACAACTTCCCCGGCACACCCTAACTTTTTAACACAAACTATCTTTATAACACATACTACAAAGACCTTAGGAAAAGACTGGCATGTGTACTATAACAAAGTCAGGATGTTTAATGGCAAAAAAATTCATAAAACAAACAAAAAGTGATAAACTGGAAGAAAATATTTGTGCCATGGATATGAGAAAAAGGAGCATTAACCAAGGAGCAAGGCACTGACCCTAGTAGAAAAATGGGCAATGCACATGCACAATGATTCCCAGAAGGAGGAAGGTAAATGAGAAGAAAACTCAAGATGCTGAAATTCATTAAGCAGAGAAACACAAAATAAAATGATAAAACTTTTTTTAGCGGGGAGGTGTGGGGTACCACACTGGAAAAAGTACTAAAAAGTTTTAACAATGTCAAGTATTTCTGAGATTTTCAGGAAACACTCAGTCACTGATGGCAGAGAAATCGCTAATGCCTTTTTCTTGAAGGCCAATTTAGCAGAAGCTGTTACAGTGTCTAAGAATGTACATTGAACAGATTTTTTTTTCAGTTAATAAGAATCTATATTTAGTGGAACGTTCTATGCTTATTGTTTCACATCTTTAAGGATCTACAGTTCCACATATATATGTATATACATATCCACCTGTTTATCAGGGAAGAATTTTTTCTGTATCTTCACTATTATTATTTCTGATATGTTTATATAGGGTGAAGATTCTATTTCTACTTTGCTTGTAAATATTAAAAGTAGAGCATATGTGAATGGGGTGATTTAAATGGAGTATTAAATACTTCTAGTCTTAGGGCATGCAAAAATTTAAGTTCTCAGGTCATAAAGAATCAGATAATTACTTATGTTCACATCTGCCACCTGTTATATGCAAGCCACTTGGCTCTCAACACTCATTCCCATCAGTAAAACAATAAGTTTCTATTAGATAACATTTAAGATCCTTTATCATTTAATGATAGTGATCAGTTCTGTGAGAACAAAGATACGGTTGCCACCCTTCCTCATATCTTTGGATTTAAAAATTATTTTTATTTATGTTAAAAGGCAGAGACAAGGAGATATCCCACCCACTGGTTCACTTCTCAAACACCTGTAACTCTCACAAGTGGGCCAGGTCTAGGTGAGGGTCCCAGAACTCAATCCAGATCTCCCATGTCGGTGGCAAGGACTCAGCTGTCAGAGCCATCACCTGTTGCATCCCAGGGTATATATACATCAGCAGGGAGCTGGCACTGGAAGAAGAGCATGGACTTGAACCCAGGTACTCTAATGTTGGATGAGAGTGTTCTAAACAGTATTTTAACTTTTATACTAAAAGCTCATCACTATTTTTATTTTTTTAATTTTCTAAATTCATTTATTTAATCTGTATTAAAGAAGGAAAGAGAGGGAGGAAGGGAGGCAGAGGTGGGGTGGGGAAATCTCCCATTTGCTGGCTCACTCCCCAAATGCCAGATGCCAGCAACAGTCTGGGATGGACCAGGCTGACACCAGGAGCCAGGAACTCAATCTTGGTCTCCCATGTGGGTAAAAGGAACCCAAAAACTTGAGTCATCGCCTGCTGGCTCCCAGGGTATTAGCAGGAAGCTGGTATGGGGAATGATGCCAAGACTCAAACCTGGCATTCTGAAATGGGGTATGGGCAAAACAAGTGGTGTTTTCCTGCTGTGCTTAAGTCTACACCTTCATATCTTTAATTTTTATTTATTGTTATTTTATTTGAAAGGAAGGAAGAGAGAGAAAGAGAAAAAGAGAGAGTGAGCGAGAAAGAGAATCTTCCACACACTGGTTCACTCCCCAAACACCTGCAACAGCCAAGGCTGGGTCAGCCAAATTAAGCAGCCCAGAATTCAATCTGGGTCTCCCATGTGGGTGGCAGGGACCCAGATACTTTTGCTATCATCTGCTGCCTCCTGCTGTACCCATGGGCAGGAAGCTGGATTGGAAGTGGAGGAGTCAGGCCGGCGCCGCGGCTCACTAGGCTAATCCTCCGCCTAGCGGCGCCGGCACACCAGGTTCTAGTCCCGGTCGGGGCACCAGATTCTGTCCCGGTTGCCCCTCTTCCAGGCCAGCCCTCTGCTGTGGCCAGGGAGTGCAGTGGAGGATGGCCCAGGTGCTTGGGCCCTGCACCCCATGGGAGACCAGGAAAAGCACCTGGCTCCTGGCTCCTGCCATCGGATCAGCGCGGTGCGCCGGCCGCGGCGGCCATTGGAGGGTGAACCAACGGCAAAGGAAGACCTTTCTCTCTGTCTCTCTCTCTCACTGTCCACTCTGCCTGTCAAAAAAAAAAAAAAATTTAAAAAAAAAAAAAAAAAAAGGAAGTGGAGGAGTCAGGACTCTAGCCAGGAACTCTGACAGGGATGTGAGTGTCCTAAGTGGCATCTTAACTACTACCATAGTGCCTGCTCCCCCACCTCCCATATCTTCTAACTTTTAAATTTTGTTTTCAGAGTATATCAGGGCTAAAGCTCTTTGGGCCCCTGTACCCACATGGGAAGACCCGGAGGAAGCTCCTAGCTCCTGGCTTCGGATTGGCACAGCTCCAGCTGTTGTGGCCAATGGGGTGTGAACCACTGGATGAAAGACATCTCTCTCTGCCTCTCCTCTCTCTGTGTAACTCTGACTTTCAAATAAATAAGTGAATAAAATCTTTAAAAAAAAAGAGAGAACAGGGAAGTCATCATGGTAACATGTCCATGATATATTTTAAGTAAAGAAGGGGCTGGCGCTGTGGCATAGTAGGTTAATGCCCTGGCCTGAAGCACTGGCATCCCATATTGGTGCTGGTTCGAGACTTGGTTGCTCCACTTCCAATCCAGCTCTCTGCTATGGCCTGGGAAAGCAGTGGAAGATGGCCCAAGTCCTTGGCCCCTGCACCCACGTGGGAGACCCAGAGGAAGCTCCTGGCTCCTGGCTTCAGATTGGTGCAGTTCTGGCCTTTGCGGCCAACTGGGGAGTGAACCCTCAGATGGAAACCTCTCTCTGTCTCTCTCTCTCTGCCTCTCCTCTCTCTGTGTAACTCTTTCAAATAAATAAAGAAATCTTAAAAAAATATTTTAAGTAAAGAAAAGACATCTAGTTACAGATTGAAAATAAGAGAGAAAATGATATATATATATATATATATATATATACACCTTGGGAGTATATTTGTATATATAAAGAAAAGAGATTCGTGATTTAAAAATTTGTATCAATTTGATGTTAAGAAAGTTATCTGGAAAGAAAAAATAATCTGATTAGGATAGAGTCCTGAGCAGAAGAATTTAAGATGAAATTCACCTTCTTTTTGGCCCATTTTATCCCTGCCAGGAAGGCCATGACCAGTGTGCACAACCCTCCAGATCCAGGGAAACCAAAATACACACTGCTGAACACAGCAAACACAGCAAAGCCCAGAACAAGGAATGCTCTCTTCCACACAAGGTTGACCTTTAGGAGAAAAAAGAGATAGTACTTATTTCACATAACTGATTCGTTTAATGATTGATTTTTTTTCCCTACATCTGGGAGTTAGAGGAAAAGAAAACTCTGTACACATAAATGCACGCCACAGCACTGATTTTCTTTTCCGTAGCCAAAGCACAGTAAGGAATATGCACAAATGTAGGTTCCCCTTTCAGGAACACCAGTTCTCTCCATCTGCAGTTATCACTGCAGGATTTCATGGGGCTCAATGGAGCAGCAGAAAAAAACTTACGGGCTTTGGTGCCAGACAAGCCAGGGCGAAAACTGCAGCTTTTGTCCATCACTGCAGTAACCTCTCTGAACTCAGTTTCCTCATCCTGAAAGCATCGACTTGTGTATTGCTGAGTTGTTGTGAAGGTTAAAGATATCCTTTCTCTATTAGTTTCAGGGTTCACGTTTACTCTTAATGTGATGCCCCCTTGACTTTTCTTTCTAAATCCTTGAATTCTTGAAGAAGCTATAGACTGAGTAATGTTTTTGTTTTACAGTCTGAGACCTGTATACCCTTCTCTCTTTCACTTTTCCCTGTTCAGTCTGGTAAACTTCTTGATCAGATTAGAAAGCAGGCTTTTCAAAGTGCCTAGCTTGGAGGCAGGCAAGCTCTTGAGGGAGATTTCCTTAGTTTACACCCAGCTCCACTGCTTCCTACCTGTGTGACCTTGTTCAAGTTACTTACCCTGCCTAAGCCTCGATCTCCTCATCAGTTAAATGGTCATAGTACCAGTGCTCTCTGTATGGATTGTTGGATAGATTATACTAGAACAGCAGTTCCCAACAGAATTTCTTTTCAGTGATGAAGAACACGTTTGTATCTGTCCACGGAAGTGTTCTGTGCCTGCTACCACCACACGCAGCTAGGGGCTGCCCTACTAAACAGTGTGGCAGGAGGGGATGACGTTAAAGTACTTACCACATCATTTAACATACAGAAAGAAACAAGGTGTAGCTATCATTTTCCTGTTCTGTTGCATCAGTAGAATAATCTTAGAACATTATTTTATGTATTCATAAAACTTCCCTTGAAGTTTTTTAGGAGAACAAGAGAAATCCAAATTACCATACACACTGATAATGGAAACATTAATTTTCTTAATTAAGAAGATTTTTCTTTAGTTCAGTTTCTAATCCCATTAAAATGCTCTAAAATCTCAAAATAATTCCAATAATATAGAAAGAATAGTTTTATGTATGTTTACCTACCCTAAGAGATTCAGAAAGGAGAAGGGAAACAAGCAAAACCTTAGTCTCCCAATTTAAAAAGTCACTGTATATATATTAAGAATTCAGATCGTGGCCGGCGCCATGGCTCACTAGGCTAATCTTCCACCTGCGGCACCGGCACCCCAGGTTCTAGTCCCAGTAAGGGCGCCAGATTCTGTCCTGGTTGCTCCTCTTCCAGTCCAGCTCTCTGCTGTGGCCCGGGAAGGCAGTGGAGGATGGCCCAAGTGTTTGGGCCTGCACCCACATGGGAGACCAGGAGAAACATCTGGCTCCTGCCTTCAGATCAGCACTGTGCGCAGGCCGTGGTGGCCATTTTGGGGGTGAACCAATGGAAAAGAAAGACCTTTCTCTCTGTCTCTCTCCCTCACTGTCTAACTCTGCCTGTCAAAAAAAAAAAAAAAAAAAGAATTCAGATTGTGAATTGACTGGATTATGACTGTATTATAATGACATGTTAAAGTCTCATCTATCTGCTAGCATTAGAATCTAAGATAATTTTGACACTAAAAAAAGGCATCCTCCCAAAAGCCATGAGTATCATGAAAATTTTTAAAACTTACATAAACTGTTATTTTGGAATTGATGCCATTTGTTTTACAGTCAAGTTTGAATTATACAAAATATAAGTTGGAGAAAAAAAAAGTCCAGGATTGCATTAAAATCTTATATATTTAGCCTCCTTCATAAATCTCCTGGACATAGGGAGTAGTTAGCAATTTCAAAATTTCTCAAACACGGCCTTCACATTCAGCTTGAGGAAAGTGTTCCAGTGATATTTTAGAGCAAACTTGCACAGCATGCATTTCTTTCACCTGGTCACTGCTTGGAAAGTATTGAATAAAAAATCCAAGAAGACATCCAGCTGACACACCAATTACCACTTCCAAAACTCCTCTGAGGACATTAAATACCGTAGACCCTGGAAACACACAAAAAAGAAAAATTCAGGCAGACTTCTAAGTCCCTAGGTATAACCAGGTTTACCCTACAACCATCAACACAATGCACCTGATACCACAGAAGGAACTGTTACAGATGTCAACTGTTTTTCACATTCTGAAATTTATATGATTTAAAATGTTTAATAAAATGGGTCTATCTTATAAGAGGATACATATCATTTGAGGCAAATTTAAAAGGTGGTATAAGGTATTATTTATGCACTTTTTATATGTTTACTTCAACGAAAGTCAACTTACCTATGAGACTAAGCTGCTGCTCAAGGTGTTATCGTAATTTATTATGAATGTACAGAATATGGCAAACTAATTTCAATCTTGATAGTCATTTTGTTTTTTTTTTTAAAGATTTTAAAAATTTATTTTTTGAGAGACAGAGTTACAGACAAAGAGGGAAAGACAAAGAAAGGCCTTCCATTGGCTGGTTCACTTCCCAAATGGCTGCAATGGCTGGAGCTGGGCCTATCCGAAGCCAGGAGCCATTAGCTCCTTCTAGGTCTCCCACTCAGATGCAGGGGCCCAAGCAATTGGGCCATCTTCTGCTTACCAGGTCATAGCAGAGAGCTGGATCAGAAGAGGAGCAGCTGGGACTAGAACTGCACCCACATGAGATGCCAGCACCGTAAGTGGAGGCTTAGACCACTATGCCACAGCACTAGCCCCTGTTGAGGTATTTAAAGAAAAAAGAACTTCTTGGCCTTTCTTCCTGAAAATTTTGATTCAGTAAATCTGGTGGGCTCAGATCCAAAAGGTCTAAGGACCACCCTTAGAAGTTGGGACAGAGGAGATATAGCAAAATCAACTAGGAAGGTTCACCAAATGGACTCTTCTTCCCAACTCCTCTCTCCAGCCCTGGCCTTCCTCCTCCTACCTGACCCTGATTCAAGCAAACAGTTGCTCTGATGCTGTAGTTCCTAATCCTGCCTGCACTGCTTTCTAATCCTAAAGGTTCTGATTTAACTGGTCTAAGGTAGAGTATACTTAACCATATTAAAAAAAAAAAAACACACACACACACACAAAACTCTCCAGGTGGTTCTAGTGTGCAGCTAAGGCTGAGCTCTGTGTTTTAAAGGGGTATAACAGGAAAGTAGCACGAACAATAGCTTGAGTAGGTAGAGTTAAAATATAGACAATGCTGTAGGTTTGACCTAACAGATACCAGCATATCCTCACTGGTTGTGAACAAGAAAGTACTATTATGAAAACAATGTTTTGAGAAGCTTAGTTTACTAAGGATTGGATGGAAGGTAGACTCTGGGACAATGGGAAGACGTGTGGTTCTATGTGACCATACATACTCATCACACAGGAAGGTAACTCCAGGGGCTGTAGAGAATGAGAATGCATACCTTTATCAGAAGGCATGCTTCCACTAAGGAATCTGAAGCTAAGCTTCAGCAACAAGTGTACTTCTTCACTAACATAAAGTCATTTTATTTCTCAATTTTGGACACAGATTAGGAAGTGAACATAAACCTGTGCTGTGCCAAAGGATAATAAAAGTGTCAAGTTGCTTCTTGGCCTTTTGGCTGAGATCAAGTGTAGCATTCATTCACATCCAGTTCCCCTTTGATCACTACTTCAAACAAAATATGTTCGTGTTTTTAAATACCAATAAGACATTCATTAAAATCACTGCTATGAGTCACAAAAGGTGGATGGATAACAGAACAGGGATGGTTCCTTCAGAAGCATGCTGTTCATTTCACTTGGACTATCCTCTGTCTTTTGTGCTCATTGAGAAACCTATTCATCCTTTGTGTGATGTCTCTGAGATTAAACTTTCCCAGGTCACTCCAAGCAGAAGCTGTTGTCTTTTTCAAAACTTTCCTACCTTGGATCTACACTCCTGCATTTGACTTGGGCAGTCTCTATTTAGAGGAAAGAAGGGAGTGAATATAGGGAGCTTCTGGTCCCTCCTTAGGGACATAACTCTGACATTGTTTTTCCTATTTCTGATTGATCTTAATCAGGTATCAAGCAAATATGTCATGGTTCTACCATTTTTTTTAAAAAAAGATTTAATTGGAAGACATGATTATAGAGAGAAAGAGAGAGAGAGAGAGAGAGAGTGCGAGCGAGCGATTCCAACTGCTAGTTTACTTCCCAAATGGCTTCAATGACTAGGGTTGAGCCAGGCTGAAGCCAGGAACCTGGGACTCCAGCTGGGTTTCCTACATGGCTGGCAGGGGGCCAAGCACATGGCCATCTTTTGCTGCTTTCCCAAGTGCATAAGCAGGTAGCTGGATAGGAGGTAGAGCAGCTAGACACAAACCTGGGCTCATATGGGGTGCTAGATCACAGCCAGTAGCTTAACCTGCTGTGCCATAATGCTGGCCTCGCTTATACCACTTTAAGCTATGTGTTCAGGGTGCAAGAGAACAGCATAAGTTTACCTGTGGAAAAGGCCATGCCTAAGCACGTGTTGAATCCAGTGATGGCTAGAATGTCATCGAAGCTGCCAGCAGCCATGAGCAAGGTCGGGACTCCCTTTTCAACGCCATAGCCTCCTCCCTGCAAAAGGAGCATGGAAGGCACCACGACCGCTGGTGATACGGCACCTAGAACAAAACTAAACACGCAGCACTTTAAACGTTTATGACAGTAGCTTACTCATTTTTTTTGAAACTATAATAACCTCTACTCTTTTAAAGATTTTACTTGGGCCAGCGCCGCGGCTCACTAGGCTAATCCTCCACCTAGCGGCGCCGGCACACCGGGTTCTAGTCCCGGTCGGGGCGCCGGATTCTGTCCCGGTTGCCCCTCTTCCAGGCCAGCTCTCTGCTGTGGCCAGGGAGTGCAGTGGAGGATGGCCCAGGTGCTTGGGCCCTGCACCCCAAGGGAAACCAGGAAAAGCACCTGGCTCCTGGCTCCTGCCATCGGATCAGCGCGGTGCGCCGGCCGCAGCGCGCCGGCCGCGGCGGCCATTGGAGGGTGAACCAACGGCAAAGGAAGACCTTTCTCTCTTTCTCTCACTGTCCACTCTGCCTGTCAAAATAAATAAATAAATAAATAAATAAATAAATAAAAAGATTTTACTTGGACAACTACAGTCTTTGAAATGGCAAAGAAGTACTGAACCAGGAATACATAAACACATGAAAGTTCTGCAAAACAGTTTTCCAAAGCATACTCATGGACAACTTGCTTTGGAACTATTTAGGTTGCCTAAAAATATCTACTTATGAATAGTACATAAAGTTCTAATGGGGGGGCGGAGCCAAGATGGCGGAATAGTGAGGGCACACACCAATAGTCCGGGAAAAGATAGTTTAATAAAAGTGGAGTTATGGTAGTCTCAGGAAAAAATTGCAGAGGAAATTCTTCTGGATCTAGTGGATGTGACACGGAGGACCTATGGGGAGAGCAAGGTCACCCACCACGTGGAAGCCCAGCTGCAGAGTCTGTGCGCCAGCGCTGGAAGGGGAGGTGAGACAAAAACCCCAGTAACCCAAGACATTGGCGGGGAAAGGCAGAAAGAGCCTACAGGGAACGAGGCCTGAAGCCCCGCTTGGGAAAGTTCACCAGACTGACTGGAGGAGAGAAAAAAATGAATAAATAAGGGGAACTGGCACGGACACTAGCCTCTCTCTCCACTCACCTTAAAAAGCCGAGCAAGACAAAGAGCAGGCACCATTTTGGACATATGTAAAGAGGCGCCCACCATCAGCCAAGCAGAAAAACCTGACTCTAGTGGGGAGAAATAATAGGAGGTTAGGACCTAGTGAAAGTGTGGAGCTAATGCACTGAGACTGTGAAAATCTGAGGGGGGGCGAGGGAACTCACCGAGTACACAAACTTGGTAACTTTGGCAACCCGGTGAGAGACTGCGGAGAAATTTGAGACCACACTGAGGACTGCATAAACTCTTTGTGTGGTCCCAGGGGAAGAGCAGACGAATGCATCATACATCAACTACCCTCAATTCTACTCAGCTGTGTGGAATTACTTCCCAACTGAGTCAAAAAAAAAAAAAAAAAGAGAGAGAGAGAGAGAAAGAGCGCAAGCAAGCAACCAAGAGAACAATCTGGGTGAGTCACCTCTGGCAGACCCTTAACCCTGAAGAACCAAACAGAGCTCTCTGGCCACACCCATCACAGCCTCTAAGGATCCATCAAAAACAGAGTCCACTAAATCTAGTCATAGTAAAACGAGAAAAAGCACCACAGTGAAGAAACCAAAGAATATCTCCAATATGCCAAACAACAAACACAAAAACTGAGGTAATAAGAACAAGGAAGACACTTTGATGCCCCCAAATGAAACAGACACCCCAATTCAAGATTATGAAGATGATGAGATAGAAGAAATGCAAGAAGCGGATCTCAAAAAATTGATAAGAACATTAACAAGTTCTCAAAAACAAATTCTTGAACTACAGAAATCCTTAATGGACATGATAGAAAATCTCTCTCATGAAAATGAAATATTAAGGAAGAATCAAAATGAAATGAAACAACTAGTAGAAAATGAAACTGTGATAGTGACGAGAAATCATAATGAAATGAAGAATTCAATAGATCAAATGACAAACACATTAGAGAGCCTTAAAAACAGAATGGGTGAAGCAGAAGAGAGAATATCAGACTTAGAAGACAGAGCACAGGAAAGTATACAGTCAAACCAAAGAAAAGAAGAGGAAATTAGAAATCTAAAATACATTGTCGAGAATCTACAGGATACTATTAAAAAAACCAACATTCGGGTTCTAGGAGTTCCTGAAGGCATGGAGAGGGAGAAAGGATTAGAAGGCCTTTTTAATGAGATACTAGCAGAAAATTTCCCAGGTTTGAAGAAGGACAGAGACATCCTAGTACAGGAAGCTCATAGAACCCCTAACAAACATAACCAAAAGAGATCCTTACCACAACACATTGTAATTAAACTCACCACAGTGAAACATAAAGAAAAGATCCTAAAATGTGCAAGAGAGAAACGTCAGATTACTCTCAGAGGATCTCCAATCAGACTCACAGCTGACTTCTCATCAGGAACCCTACAAGCTAGGAGGGAATGGCGATATATAGCCCAGGTACTAAGAGAGAAAAACCGCCAGCCCAGAATATTATATCCTGCCAAGCTCTCAATTGTGAATGAAGGTGAAATAAAGACCTTTCATAGCAAACAGAAATTGAAAGAATTTGTCACCACTCATCCAGCCCTGCAAAAAATGCTTAAAGATGTGCTACACACAGAAACACAGCCATCAATATGAAAGAAGGTAAAGGAAGAAAACCTACCAGTAAAAGATCATAGGAAGCTCAAAGCATATCCTAGAAAATATCTTTGGGAAAATGGCAGGGCAAAGTCAATACTTATCAACAGTCACATTGAACGTTAATGGACTTAACTCTATCAGTTAAAAGGCACAGACTGGCTGAATGGATTAAGGAACAAAACCCATCTATTTGCTGCCTACAAGAAACCCATCTTTCCAACAAAGATGCATGCAGACTGAAAGTGAAAGGTTGGAAAAAGATATTCCATGCCAACAGAAATGAAAAAAAGCAGGTGTAGCCATATTAATATCAGACAAAATAAACTTTAACACAAAAACTGTTAAGAGAGACAAAGAGGGATACTATATAATGATTAAGGGTTCAATTCAACAGGAAGATGTAACTATTATAATTGTATATGCATCTAATTACAGGGCACCGGTTTATTTAAAAGGTATGTTAAGGGACTTAAAGGGAGACTTAGACCCCAATACAATAGTACTGGGGGACTTCAATACTCCACTCTTAGAAACAGACAGATCAACAGGACAGAAGATCAACAAGGAGACAGTAGATATAAACGACACTATAGCCCAAACGGATCTAACAGATATCTACAGAACTTTCAATCCTACATTTAAGGATTTTACATTCTTCTCAGCAGTGCATGGAACCTTCTCTAGGATTGACCACATAGTAGGCCATAAAGCAAGTCTCAGCAAATTTAAAAGAATTAGAATCATACCATGCAGCTTCTCAGACCACAGCAGAATGAAGGTGGAAATTAGCAACTCAGGAATCCCTAGAGAGTATGCAAACACGTGGAGACTGAACAACATGCTCCTGAATGAACAATGGGTCATAGAAGAAATCAAAAAATTTCTGGATGTAAATGAGGATAACAGCACAACATATCAAAAATTATGGGATACAGCAAAAGCAGTGTTAAGAGGAAAGTTTATAGCAATAGGTGACTACATCAAGAAATTGGAAAGGTACCAAATAGATGAGCTTCCAATGCATCTCAAGGATCTAGAAAATCTGCAGCAAACCAGACCCAAATCTAGCAGGAGAAAAGAAATAATTAAAATCAGAGAAGAAATCAACAGGATTGAATCCAAAAAATTACAAAAAATCAGCCAAGTGAAGAGCTGCTTTTTTGAAAAAATGAATAAAATTGACACCCCATTGGCCCAACTAACTAAAAAAAGAAGAGAAAAGACCCAAATCAATAAAATCAGAGATGAAAAAGGAAATGTAACAACAGACACCACAGAAATAAAAAGAGTCATCAGAACTTACTACAAGGACTTGTATGCCATAAAACAGGGAAATCTATCAGAAATGGATAGATTCCTGGACACATGCAATCTACCTAAATTGAGCCATGAAGACATAGAAAACCTAAACAGACCCATAACTGAGACAGAAATTCAAACAGTAATAAAAGCCCTCCCAACAAAGAAAAGCCCAGGACCAGATGGATTCACTGCTGAATTCTACCAGACATTTAAAGAAGAACTAATTCCAACTCTTCTCAAACTATTCAGAACAATAGAAAAAGATGGAATCCTCCCAAATTCTTTCTATGAAGTCAGAAATACCTTAATCCCTAAACCAGAGAAAGATGCAGCATTGAAAGAAAATTACAGACCAATATCCCTGATGAACATAGACACAAAAATCCTCAATAAAATTCTGGCCAATAGAATACAACAACACATCAGAAAAATCATCCACCCAGACCAAGTGGGATTTATCCCTGGAATGCAGGGATGGTTCAATGTTCGCAAAACAATCAATGTGATACACCACATTAACTAACTGCAGAAGAAAAATCATATGATTATCTCAATAGATGCAGAGAAAGCATTCGATAAAATTCAACACCCTTTCATGATGAAAACTCCAAGTAAACAGGGTATAGAAGAAACATTCCTCAATATAATCAAAACAATTTATGAAAAACCCACGGCCAGCATCCTATTGAATGGGGAAAAGTTGGAAGCATTTCCACTGAAATCTGGTACCAGACAGGGATGCCCACTCTCACCACTGCTATTCAACATAGTTCTGGAAGTTTTAGCCAGAGCCATCAGGAAAGAAAAAGAAATTAAAGGATACAAATTGGGAAGGAAGAAGTCAAACTATCCATCTTTGCAGATGATATGATTCTTTATTTAGAGGATCCAAAGAACTCTACTAAGAGACTATTGGAACTCATAGAAGAGTTAGGCAAAGTAGCAGGATATAAAATCAATGCACAGAAATCAACAGCTTTTGTATACACAGGCAATGCCATGGCTGAGGAAGAACTGCTAAGATCAATCCCAGTCACAATAGCTACAAAAACAATCAAATACCTTGGAATAAACTTAACCAAGGACGTTAAAGCTCTCTATGATGAGAATTACAAAATCTTAAAGAAAGAAATAGAACAGGATACCAAAAAATGGAAAAATCTTCCATGCTCATGGATTCGAAGAATCAACATCATCAAAAACTCCATTATCTCAAAAGCAATTTACACATTCAATGCAATACCAATCAAGATACCAAAGGCATTCTTCTCAGATCTAGAAAAAATGATGCTGAAATTCATATGGAGGCACAGGAGACCTCGAATAGCTAAAGCAATCTTGTACAAAAAAAACAAAGCCAGAGGCATCACAATACCAGATTTCAGGACATACTACAAGGCAGTTGTAATCAAAACAGCATGGTACTGGTACAGAAACAGATGGATAGACCAATGGAACAGAATTGAAACACCAGAAATCAACCCAAACATCTACAGCCAACTTATATTTGATCAAGGATCTAAAACCAATTCCTGGAGCAAGGACAGTCTATTCAATAAATGGTGCTGGGAAAACTGGATTTCCATGTGCAGCAGCATGAAGCTAGACCCCTACCCTTCATCTCACACAAAAATCCACTCAACATGGATTAAAGACCTAAATCTACGACCCGACACCATCAAATTATTAGAGAACATTGGAGAAACCCTGGAAGATATTGGCACTGGAAAGACTTCCTAGAAAAGATCCTTGGAGGCGCAGGCAGTCAAAGCCAAAATTAACTATTGGGATTGCATCAAATTGAGAAGTTTCTGTAGTGCAAAAGAAACAGGAGAGTGAAGGGGCAACCAACAGAATGGGAAAAAATATTTGCAAGCTATTCTACAGATAAAGGATTAATAACCTGAACCTACAAAGAGATCAAGAAACTCCACAACAACAAAACAACCCACTTAAGAGATTTGCCAAGGACATCAATAGACATTTTTTCTTTTCTTTTCTTTTTTTTTTTTTGACAGGCAGAGTGGACAGTGAGAGGGAGAGAAACAGAGAGAAAGGTCTTCCTTTGCCATTGGTTCACCCTCCAATGGCTGCCACGGCCAGTGCGCTGTGGCCGGCGCATAGAGATGATTCGAAGCCAGGAGCCAGGTGCTTCTCCTGGTCTCCCATGCCGGTGCAGGGCCCAAGCACTTGGGCCATCCTCCACCGCACTCCCGGGCCATAGGAGAGAGCTGGCCTGGAAGGGGGGCAACCAGGACAGAATCCAGAGCCCTGACCGGGACTAGAACCCGGTGTGCCAGCGCCGCTAGGTGGAGCATTAGCCTATTGAGCCGCGGCGCCGGCCCGACATTTTTCAAAAGATGAAATCCAAATGGCCAACAGGCACATGAAAAACTGTTCAAGAGCACAAGCAATCAGGGAAATGCAAATCAAAACCACAAAGAGGTTCCATCTCACCCCAGTGAGAATGGCTTACATTCAGAAATCTACCAACAACAATTGCTGGAGAGGATGTGGGGAAAAAGGGATACTAACCCATTGGTGGTGGGAATTCAAACTTGTAAAGCCACTATGGAAGTCTGTCTGGAGATTCCTCAGAAACCTGAATATAACCCTATCATTCAACCCAGCCATCCCACTCCTTGGAATTTACCCAAAGGAAATTAAAATGGGGCTGGTGCCGTGGCTCAATAGGCTAATCCTCTGCCTTTGGCGCCGGTACACCGGGTTCTAGTCCCGGTCGGGGTGCCAGATTCTGTCCCGGTTGCCCCTCTTCCAGGCCAGCTCTCTGCTATGGCCCGGGAGTGCAGTGGAGGATGGCCCAAGTCCTTGGGCCCTGCACCCGCATGGGAGACCAGGAGAAGCACCTGGCTCCTGGCTTCCGATCATCACGATGCGCCGGCCGCAGCGCACTGGCCGCGGCAGCCATTGGAGGGTGAACCAACGGCAAAAGGAAGACCTTTCTTGCTGTCTCTCTCTCTCACTGTCCACTCTGCCTGTCAAAAAAAATTTAAAAATTAAAAAAAAAAAGAAATTAAATTGGGAAAGAAAAGAATGGTCTGCACCTTAATGTTTATTGCAGCTCAATTCACAATAGCTAAGATCTGGAATCAACAGAAATGCCCATCAACAGCAGAATAGATAAAGAAATTATGGGACATGTACTCTATAGAATACTATGCAGCAGTCAAAAACAATGAAACCCAGTCATTTGCAACAAAATGGAGGAATCTGGAAAACATGCTGAGTGAAATAAGCCAGTCCCAAAGGGACAAATATCATATGTTCTCCCTGATCGGTGACAACTGACTGAACACCAAAAAGGAAACCTGTTAAAGTGAAATGAACACTATGAGAAATGGTGAGTTGATCCGCCCTTGTCCTGACTGTTGATGAACAACTTAATACGTTATCCCTCTTAGTATTTTTTTTGTTTGTTCTACTTATTACTATTGGTTGAATTCTGTAATTAATACACAGTTATTCTTAAGTGTTGAAACTTAACTGAAAAGTGATCCCTGTTGAATATAAGAGTGGGAATAAGAGAGGGAAGAGGTGTGCAATTTGGGACATGCTCAAGCCGACTTGCCCCAAACGGTAGAGTTAGAAACATATTAGGGGATTCCAATTCAATCCCATCAAGGTGGCATGTACCAATGCCATCTCACTAGTCCCAGTGATCAATTTCTGTTCACAATTGATCATAATGATAGGACTAAGAACCAAAGGGATCACATAAACAAGACTAGTGTCTGCAAATACTAGCTGATAGAATAAAAAAGGGAAAGAACGATCCAACATGGGAAGCGAGATACACAGCAGACTCATAGAATGGCAGATGTCCTAAACAGCACTCTGGCCTCAGAATCAGCCCTTAAGGCATGCAGATCTGGCTGAGAGTATTTCAGGCATGGAACACCAAGACACTCTGGGGGAAAAAAAATGACTTAAATGAAAGATCTCCACGAGTGAGATCCCAGTGGAAAGAACAGGTCATCAAAGAAGGAGGTACCTTTCTCTGAAGGGAGGAGAGAACTTCCACTTTGACTATGACCTTGTCTAAATATGATCAGAGTCGGTGAACTCAAAAGCTTCCATAGCCTTAGCAACTCATATCAAGACCTAGGGTGATTACTGATGCCATAAACAAGAGTGTCGATTTGTTAAGTCAACAACAGGAGTCACTGTGCACTTACTCCTCATGCAGGATCTCTGTCCTTAATGTGCTGTACATTGTGATTTAATGATTTAACTAATATTCAAACAGTATTTTTCACTTTGTGTTTCTATGTGGGTGCAAACTGTTTAAATCTTTACTTAATATATGCTAAACTGATCTTCTGTATATAAAGAGAATTGAAAATGAATCTTGATGTGAATGGAAGGGGGGAGGGAGAAGGAAAGGGAGAGTTACGGGTGGGAGGGAAATTATGGGTGGGGGGAAGCCATTGTAATCCATAAGCTGTACTTTGGAAATTTATATTCATTAAATAAGAGTTTAAAAAAAAGTTCTAATGGGATTAGGTCCCAGGAAGCTGCCTTTTATGAAACAAAACATATAACTCATAAACCCTGAGAAATTGCCACGGATGTTTTAGATTGGAGCTTAGTATCAGCAGCCTTCTATCAGGGCTTGGTATGTAAAACAAGACAACAGAGGAAGCCATATGAAAGTGACGATGAAACTAATAATAGCAGCAGTCCTAACAGCAGAAAGCATTTTTTAGGGTTCACTATGTGCCAAACACCATGCTGAGCACTCTGCATTGATAAGCTGAGTTAATCTTTGCAATGACCCTTTGAAGTAGATACAATTACCTTCATTTTACAAGTGAGAAAACTGAGGTACAGGGAGATTCATAACTTGTCAACGATCACAAACTGGAAAAGTACAGAGCTTGGGTCCAAATGCAGACACAGGGCTCCAGAGTCTTAGCATGAGAAGTAAGGATTTCTGACTCCTGCTTGCTCATTAACACTTAATTCTTACTAAGTACTTTTCTCTATTTACTTCTCATGGCTCTTAACCATTGGAAGTAAAAACCAATCATGGAAGGAAGAGACAGCAGAACCATGGAGTCATAGTAGCCTGATGGCTGAGGGGAAACAACGGTAGGTGTTGACAGCCATTGCTGTTTTTATTATTCTCTGTGCAGACTTTGAGGTGAGATCTAGCATCTCTCCACAGGCATGCAATCAGAGGTAGGCAAGATAACGTGACTTTTTCAACAGCTTGAATTACTATAATCACTGGAGAAGCACCTACAAAGACACAGACTCTATTTTCAAGTTAAAACTATTGAAATGATATTGGAATATCTTGTATTTCCTGGTGCCCTTAAGAACATGGAATTGTACATTCTCTTGTGTGAAATTCAAGAGAGCCCTTAACATCCCTGCACATTTTCACATGACAAAGAAAAAAATCATTACCCCAGTATGAATCCCCATTGCCATGGCAAGCCCATCAGGAAGTGGGAAAGAACAGCAGCTGCACAAGCCTCCACTAGACAGGGACCCAGAGAGAGTCTTACACAAACACCCTTCAATTTCTTCAGGGCCTGAAATACAAAAGCAGACATACTAACATAATCCCCTGCAGACAAGCAGAGAAGATGAGCTTATTAAATGCTTTGTCTTCAGTATTCGGGTCATGTCTGGGTCACTGTGAGTTTCCCAGGTAGTGAGTTTTATTTAACAAGCACTTTAGCATTCTAAGTGTCTTAGAGTTTGCATATTTAATCTTCATAGCAATCCTATGGATAGGTAGCATTAGTTCATCTTTTTCTAGCTGTTCTCATCTAAAAAGGTATAAGTTTAAGTCATTTGCCCTACATCATGAAACTGGTGAGTGGGGAGGGTAGGTGTGAACGCAGGCAGGCTGCTTCCAGGGCCTGTGCTCATAATGCCCGCACTAGCTGACTTAACCTTTCAGTATGGGTTTTATTTAGAATTTGTAACCCCAGGATGAGACTAGGGTAGAGAACCTCACCCTTCAAGAACACTCATTCCTGCATTCAAAAAACACACTTGCAGGGCTGGTGTTGTGGCACAGCAGGAGAAGCCACCACCTGCAACACCGGCATCCCATATGGGTGTTGCTTTGAGTCCTGGCTGCTCCACTTCTAATCCAGCTCCCTGCTAATGCAGCTGGAAAAGCAGCAGAAGATGGCTCAGGTACTAGGGCCCCACCACCAGCATGAAGACCCAGATGAAGCTTTTGGCTCCTGGCTTTGGTCTGGCCCAGTCCTAGCCATTTTGGGTATTTGGGGAGTTAACCAGTGGTTGGAAGACTCTTTCTCTCTAACTCTGCCTTTCAAAATAAATCTTTAAGAAAAAAAAAACCCACACATGAAAAAGCATTAAAAACAATATTCCTAAGACTTGTTCCGAGTACTAGGCAGTTTCCTAAGCTAGTATAGTTAGCCCTGAACACCTGTATAGGGATTTGCACACCAAAATATGCTTTGTCCTCTTCAACCAGAATCTACAACAATGGCCTAGATCTCTCTCAGAGAAAAGGAGAAGCTTTTTTAATCCCACCTTTCTCCAAGAAAACAGTATGAAAACATCTCCTGGGTTCTTGTGTGAAGCACAAGGCCCTGCTTGCATGAAATAAATTCTATTCTTTTCTTTAGAATATCATGCAAAGTATCCACATCTGTTTCCTAAAGATAAATATCAGAGGATCAAAATCCCTAATCAATAACCAGCGACCCACACTTCATACCTTTGAATCCAGACCAAGGCCAGCACGAACCAATATGATAGACAGGGCTATGCTTCTCAAAGAGGAAGACCACTTGTGCTTGATCTGCACATTATCACTGATCACTGGGATATTTCTGATGAGAAACCCAGCAAGCAGCATGCCTTGAATGGAAAATCAAACAAATCTAGTTAGTTTGCAAATACAGAAAATATTTTTCAGACTGACATGTAGAAGATACTCCTCTATAACCACAGGAACCACTTTCCTGATATTTAGTCCTTGGGTGAAATTAAGTTAAATTTTAAATTTAAGACACTGGGGCCAGTGCTGTGGTGTAGCACAATTAAGCTGCCACCTGTGAGGCCTGCATCCCATGATTCTGTCCCAGCTGCTCCACTTCAAATTCAGCTCCCTGCTAATATGCTTGGGAAAGCAATGGATGATGGCTCAACTATTTGGGCCTCCGCACACATGAGGGAGATCCTGAAGAAGCTCCTGGCTTCAGGCTGGCCCACTCCCAGCCATTGTGGCCATTTTGGGGAGTGGATCAGCAAATGGAAGATCTGTCTCTCCCTTTCTCTCTGTAACTAAGCCTTTCAAATAAATAAGTAAGTCTTAAAAAAAAACTAAAATAACATAATAAATTAGAGGAGAAAACAAAAAAAATTATCAATGTTCTGCCAAAAAAACTGAAAACTAAAAGGGAGAAACAAGATTTAGCATTTGGAGAGTATGATTAAATTCTATATATAAAATGTTTTACATAATGCCAGTTTGGTCATCCCTTCGCATGTAAATAGTTCCTGAAATTACATGCTATAACTGATTGCCTGAAATACCAATAAATACTTATACAGGTATGATTTGGAGAGCTTTTAAAAATTTTGATACCCAGGCCATCTTCCATACATATTAATTCAGAATCTCCAGGGTGGGACCTGGGCATCAGCCTTTAAAATTTCCCTAGATGCTCCCTATGTGCAGTCATAATGACCTTGCTACTTAAACATGGCCTTAGAGCTTTAGAAATGCAGAATCTCAGGACTCACCCCAGATCTACTGGATAAGAATTTGCATTTTTACAAGATCCCCAGGTCATCCTCTGCATAGTGAGTTTTGAGAGTGATTGATTTAGATGAAGGGTCAGCAAACATTTGAGTAAAAGGGCAAATAATGAATATTTTGGGTTTTGAGAGCAACCTGGTCCCTGTTACAACTTCTCCATTCTATTAATAGAGTAGCAAGAAGCCATAGTTAGTAATATAAGTGAATGAATGTGAGTTTCTTCAGAAAAAGGGATGGCCTGTCAACTTTGTCTCATAGCATACAAGCATATTTAGAAACAACTAATTTTAACAACAATTCAGTTAACAACTTCAAGAATGAAAAAGCATCCATGAGAAATTATGTGAACTGCATGAAATTCTTTGCTTTACTTAAGATTTAAAAACATATTGGGAGATCCTGCAGAGTAAGATATAAATAATTTTGCTTCTTTTTATATTTAGCTTCAATAGCTGACCAGAAATTCAAAAGCAACTAATTTTGGTCTATTGTCCTCACTAAAAGAAGTCAACAGGAAAAAAAATTTGATCCAGGAAATGCGTACAAATATATATAACTGTGTAAAAGGTATTATTAGCATTTGAATAAAACTCAGTGATTAATAAATCTGTTAGAAATAAGCATAAACTACCTTTGTGATACATCAAAATTATGTAATGTAGAATTTTTATAACAAACAAAAGGTGTACAATGGCTGGTTTGAAGATTAATGTGTGGGGGCAGGCACTGTGGCATACTAGGCTATGCCTCCACCTGCAGTGCCGGCATCCCATATGGGCGCCAGTTCCTGTCTTGGCTGCTCCTTTTCTGATCTAGCTCTCTGCTATGGGCTGGAAAGCAGTGGAAGATGGCCCAAGTGCTTAGGCTCCTGCACCCACATGGGAGACCTGGAAGAAGCTCCTGGCTCTTGGCTTCAGATTAGCCCAGGTCTGGCCATTGTGGCCATTTGGGGAGTGAACCAGCAGATAGAAGATTTTTTTCTCTGTCTCTACCTCTCTCTGTCTGTAACTCTACCTCTCAAATAAATGAATAAAAACTCTTAAAAAAGAAGGGGTGTGTGTGTGTGTGTGTGTGTATTTTGTTTGGGCAGTTCTCACTGCCTCTGGAAGCACTATCTTTGGCTATGTTTTTTACATTTTTTAAAAAAGATTCATTCATTTATTTGAGTCAGAATTACACAGAGAGAGGAGAGAGAGAGGTCTTCCACCCAATGGTTCACTCCCCGGTTGACTGCAATGGTTGGGGCTGCGCTGAAGGAGCCAGGAGTTTCTTCCAGGTCTCCCATGTGGGCGCAGGGACCCAAGGAAATGGGCCATCTTCTACTGCTTTCTCAGGCCACAGCAGAGAGCTGGATCAGAAGTGAAGCAGCCAGGTCTCAAACCAGCACCCATATGGGATATTGGTGCTTCAGGCCAGGGTGTTAACCTGCTGTGCCAAGGTGCCGGCCCCATGGTCTATGTTTTAAAAACATTCCATTGTGTGTTGGTAGATGCTTAACAAGTAGCTCTCCAAAAAAATATGCATTCTCTATACATATATATGTTTATTGTACATTTTACTGATAGGGCATACACTGTTTACAAATATTTATATAACAACTTTTACTGTAAACTCTGAATCCATGAGCAACTATGATTGCAGTTCAACCAAGATTTCACAAAATCAAACTACAAATAAATGCCTGACTCTTAAGCGATAAACCAAAGAAGCCATTTGCATCACTGATGAGTGAGTTTAGTGTTACCATGAAGGTTGGTTGATACCAATTTATGTCAAGGAGCAAGGTGAAAATGAAACAATGAAAATACAGGACCCTTTTTGTCAACACTAACAATGACTTACAACAAGCCCTGTTTGCAGCATTCTTACGTTACATAGAAACTTCTGCTATAGCCAATTTAAAGGCACCAACATATCACTGATCATGGAGTTGGGAAGAGATGTGAAACAGCCACTATTATACAGTATTCCATAATCTCAAGATCTTGGATCAGGAGAAAGGTAGTAAATTAGAAAGTTATCAGTTTTGAGCACTAATTGCTCTTGTATTTTAATTAAGTTAAATTTATAAAATTTTCAAAAAATATGTAAACTATATAAATATATAATACATAAAATATGTTTATATAATTTTCAAAAAATTGTCATGTTTACCAACTAGCTCACAAAGCTTTAAGTCGAACAAATGGTGTCAGCATAATAAATATAGGTTTTTTTCAATTTTATTTTCCAAATCTATTCAAATCCAAATCACTATTTAAAAAATGTTATTTACTCTGAGGAAAACAGCAAGTTTAGCACTTACCAAGAAGAGGGGGCAGTGGTGGCAGTGTGGGTAACTTGATGAGCCCAAAAAGTTTACCTCCAATGACAGCACAATAGAATAGGATGATAATTCCAAATAGGTTTCCTCCAGGAAGGCATTCACTGCCAGTAATTGACCAGACTACAGCCCACAGGAGAACGATGATGACAACTGAAATAAACCAGGACAACTAGTTTTTATCAGTAAGTTATTATTGAATACATACACCAATATTTATAAACATGTATGCATTATGAAGAAAATCAGTAATATGAAAGCAGTTTCATATAAGCAACCACATTAAGAAATAGGATCTTTCCAGTATCTTTGAATGCACCTACATGCTCCTCCAATCCCACTCCCTGTCTTCCTCACGCTGCCAGAAGGAACCCTTATCTTAATTTTTTATCATTCACATAGTGTTATTTTTTAAAATAATTTTAGTACAAATATATATTAGTAGCTACCATTACACAGGGAAATGATTGTTATTTTTACACTCTTCATAGGAACATGAGAATACCCAAACTCCAATCAAACCAGTATTTCAGTTCTGCCTTGAACTGGACATTATTATTCCTTTTTTACATAGTCAATGTTTGTTTAGAATTGCTCACTTATTTATTTCGGTCATCACTCATCATGAGATTTCAAAACCTTTCATCTGGGACAATTATGGTACTACCCTGAAGTATTTCCTTTCATAAGGGCACTAATATCATATAACCCTACCATTCAACCCAGCCATCCCACTCCTTGGAATTTACCCAAAGGAAATGAAATTGGCAAACAAACAAGCTGTCTGCACATTAATGTTTATTACAGCTCAATTCACAATAGCTAAGACCTGGAACCAACCCAAATGCCCATCAACAGTAGACTGGATAAAGAAATTATGGGACATGTACTACTCTATCGAATACTATACAGCAGTCAAAAACAACGAAACCCGGTCATTTGCAACAAGATGGAGGAATTTGGAAAACATCATGCTGAGTGAATTAAGCCAGTCCCAAAGGGACAAATATCATATGTTCTCCCTGATCAGGGACAACTAACTGAGCACCAAAGGGGAAACTTGTTGAAGTGAAATGTACACTATGAGAAACAGTGACTTGATCAGCTCTTGTCCTGACGGTTGATGTACAATGTAATACTTTATTCATTATAGTATTTTTTTTTTTGTTCTAGTACCATAGGTTGAACTCTGTAATCAACACACAATTATTCTTAGGTGTTTAAATTTTACCTGAAAAGTGATCCCTGTTAGGAATTTGGAAAACATTATGCTGAGTGAAATAAGCCAATCCCAAAGGGACAAATACCACTTGTTCTCCCTGATAGGTGACAACTAACTGAGCACCAAAAAGGAAACCTGTTAAAGTGAAATGAACACTAGGAGAAATGGTGACTTGATCAGCCCTCACCCTGACTGTTGATGAGCAACTTAATATGTTATCCCTCTTAGTATTTTTGTTTGTTTGTTCTACTTAATACTTTTGGTTGAATACTGTAATCAATACACAATTATTCTTAAGTGCTGAAACTTAACTGAAAAGTGATCCCTGTTGAATATAAGAGTGGGAATAAGAGAGGGAAGAGATGTGCAATTCGGGACATGCTCAAGCTGACTTACCTCAAACGGTAGAGTTAGAAACATACCAGGGGATTCCAATTCAATCCCATCAAGGTGGCATGTACCAATGCCATCTCACTAGTCCCAGTGAACAATTTCTGTTCACAATTGATCATAATGATAGGACTAAGAACCAAAGGGATCACATAAACAAGACTAGTGTCTGCAAATACTAGCTGATAGAATAAAAAAGGGAGAGAACAATCCAACATGGGAAGTGAGATACACAGCAGACCCATAGAATGGCAGATGTCCTAAACAGCACTCTGGCCTCAGAATCAGCCCTTAAGGCATGCAGATCCAGCTGAAAAGCCCATGAGACTATTTCAGGCATGGAAAGCCAGGACACTCTGGGGAAAAAAAAAAAAACCTAAATGAAAGATCTCTGCAAGTGAGATCCCAGTGGAAAGAACGGGTCATCAAAGAAGGAGGTACCTTTCTCTGAAGGGAGGAGAGAACTTCCACTTTGACCATGGCCTTGTCTAAATATGATCAGAGTCGGTGAACTCAGAGGGCTTCCATAACCTTGGCAGCTCATGACGAGAGCCTAGGGTGATTACTGATGCCATAAACAAGAGTGTCAATTTGTTAAGTCAACAACAGGAGTCACTGTGTACTTACTCCTCATGTAGGATCTTTGTCCTTAGTGTGCTGTACATTGAGATTTAATGCTATAACTAGTACTCAAACAGTATTTTTCCTTTATGTTTCTGTGTGGGAGCAAACTGTTGAGATCTTTACTTAATGTATGCTAAACTGATCTTCTGTATATAAAGAGAATCCAAAATGAATCATGATGTGAATGGAAGGGGAGAGGGAGTGGGAAAGGGGAGGGTTGCGGGTGGGAGGGACATTATGGGGGGGAAGCCATTGTAATCCATAAGCTGTACTTTGGAAATTTATATTCATTAAATAAAAGTTAAAAAAATTTTTTAAAAAAAGGGTGTTAATATCATAAAGTGAAAACCTGTGCTGTAGTGTAGTGGGTAAAGCTGCTGCCTGTGGGGCTGGCAACCCATATAGCTGCCAGCTGAATCCAGGCTACTCCACTTCTGATCCAGCTACCTGTTGGTGTACCTGGGAAAGCAGCAGAAATGACCCAAGTGCTTGGGTCCCTGAACCCAAGTGGGAGACCCAGAAGAAGCTCCAGGATCCTAGCTTCGGATTGGCCCAACTCTGGCCATTGCAGCCACTTGGAGAGTGAACCAGCAGATGGAAGACCTCTCTCTGTCTGCTTCTGCCTCTCTGTTAAGGCTGCCTTCCAAATAAATAAATAAATAAAAAGTGTTCAACAGAAAGGTACACTAAAAATGCAGACTCAAGTCATGAGGAAAGCATAGTTAGGGCAGATCAATCAGAACTCAAAAACAATCCTAAGAAGAGTACTAGCACAGTCCGTTCTTTGCAGACTTAAATCCAGAACCACATTTCCTACTTCAAGATGTATATTTTTGATGGCATCTATTTCAAGTAGAAAGCAGTTTCCTCAAAATATGATCCATACTGTGCTCTCTTCATCATTCAAAAATAATTTTTTAAGCTGAAGGTTAAGTGATGGCAGCTCCTTTACCTACTGTCAGCTGCTTCACCTACCTGGGTATTTTCATTAGCGGGCTTAATGCTGTGGAACGTACATAGTCCCTGAAGCCCCTCAACCAGCTACTGAAAAGAAAGCATCTCCATAGGATTTCAGTTTTCACAAAGTTCTCATGTGAGTAAGGTTTTACTGTAAGGAAGCATACACCTGATCTTTTTTCTTTTGTTATTGCTTAATGATACAAAAACATTAATGTGCCAGGAAAAATTATGCACAAAAATGCAAATTCCATATTACATTGTTATAATTCCCTATTTAGCAAACAAGCTATTCATGGTACACAAATACACGTATCAGAACCCATTATATTTTTCATGAGGATCTGTTGCAGTAAATTCTTACTTTTATTGTTGAGAATTATCTTTATTTTCATTCTTAGAAGATAATTTTTCTAGGCATACCCCCAGGTTTACCTCAAATTCTAGTTTGAGAATTATTTCCCCTCAGTTCCTTGAAAATATTATTCTTTGGTTTCTGGCTTTCACTGTTGCTGTTGAGAAGTCGAATTTCAGCTTGTGTAATGGATAAGTTTCCTTTGGCTGTTTTAAGTTATCGTTTTCTTTGGTTTTCTGCAGTTTTAGAATGAACATTTAGGTGTGGCTTCCTTTTGGTTTGCTTAGGATTTATACTTTTTTTTGTTACTTCTAGAAAATTCTGTCTTTATTTCTTCAACAATTTCCTCTTCCCTATTTTATCCATTCTCCCGATTCTCTTTCTGTGAGGTTAGGCAGTCCCACTGTTTCCATGTTGCTAAGCCTGTTTTCCCTCTTTCTGTGTCCTGCACCCTGGATGATCTCTTCAGATCTACTTGCCAGTTCATCGATTCTCTTTTCACTTAATCTGCTGCCTAATTTATTCATGGAGTTTTCAATTTCAATGGAAAGTTTTAAAATTACTGTACTCTCATTTCTAAAAGTTCAAGTTGGTTCTCATTCACACATGATTGTTTTTAAATAGTTACTTGTTTTACACTCCTGTTTGCTAAATCTTCTTTAACTTTATATCTATCAAAATATTTTATATTTTTCTGAAATGCAAACTTTTGAGATCTCTGTTTTGTTTCTTTGTGCATGTTTTGTGATTTTTTTAATTTGGTTTTTGCAGCAGTGAGCACTTCCTCGGAATTCTAAGGGTTTGTTGGAGCCTTGGGTTAGGTGGGAGTGTTCCTGGATAGGGTCTGAATTGGCTTCTAACAGATACAGTTTCACTTTGGGGTTATTTTCCTGTGAATTTGGGGCACAAATTAGAATGAAGTTACATATTTTTAGTGGAGACTCCTTTGTTTCAGCCAACAACCACAGTCCAGACAGGGTTAGCTGCACACTCACTTGAAGAGCAGTTTTACCTCAGATTCACCGGCACACTGGAATCCCACTTTATGTGGGTGAAGGAGAATGGTTTTTCCTGTTATACTTCTTCCAATGTGGGCAGACTCGAGCTTAGCCTCTTGTGCCTTCAGGGCTCTCAAATCAAACTCAAGGTCACTGGAGTTTGGCAGAAAGCTCTAGGGTGAAAGCCAGTTTGAGTGCTACTTACCTTCCCTACTTGTACTTTGGTTTTGGTGTCTGATAATTGGTTATTTGCTTGAAAGATCACAAGTACATATCAAGAGATTTACGCAGTTTTTTCAGATTTTTCATTGATTTAAGTGACAGGATTTTTCCACTGAGTCTTGTCTATGATACTGCTAGAAACTGAGTTCAATATCCTTGTTTCTAAAACTTCACATAGTTATTCCAGATTATTCAGGGTTAAGACAATGAAATAATTCATGGGCCTTCTGTATTCTTCAATTGGATTTAGGGGTTAAAAGTTCAATGCAATGTTGGAAGTAGAATGGGAAAGCAGGATTTGTCAGCTACTAAATCTACTTTATGATATAAAAAAACTAATTTTATACTAAATTCAGCAACATAGAAATAATTTTTTTTTACTTTCCCATTTCAATATCACTTTTTTTTCAAAGTCTCTAACTCCTTTTTCCCCCATATTTGAAATACAGTTATAAACACATAGCAAATGTACATTTATATGGTTTCTCTAAATCATACTTCGGCCAGTAATTTATTTCTTAGTTATGATTTTGGAAAATCATATTTTCCATAAGATTTATTGAAGAAGAATATCTCTATATACTGAATGGGCACAGGAAGGAATATAGGACAAAAACAGTCTTGTAAACCCAAGAAACAGAATGAATTTTAGAAAAATATGTGGAAAACATATTTATTGTGAATCCTAGTTTTCAAGAAGTTTTGTAAAAAAAGATCATAAATGTTTTAAAAACAGGTCTCAAAATCACATCCTTCATTTTACCCTTTCCTTTATGTCAACCTGTATCTATTTTATTGTAAATATTTTAACTAGAAATTTGCCATATTTTGAGTGGGGAAAGTTAAAAAAATAATATAAAGGACAGAAAAGCATTAAATTATCCATTGCTTTATCAGCTAGTGCATTCTTTGGCACGTGGTTTCTCTAAATAAATATTGAGATTTTCTCCATGCTAGTTCAGAGCCTTACTTGATTTTATTAAAAACTTATCTAGAGGGCCCACCACTGTGGTGTAATAGGTTAAACCTCTGTCCGTGGCACCAGCATCCCATGTGCGCGCTAGTTCCTGTCTTGGCTGCTCCTCTTCCAATTTAGCTCTCTCTTTGGGAAAGCAGTGGAAGATGGCCCAAGTGCTTTGGCCCCTGAGCACACGTAGGAGACCTGGAAGAAGCTCCTGGCTCCTGGCTTCGGGTTGGCTCAGCTCTGGCCATTGAGGCCATTAGGAGAGTGAACCAGTGCACTCTCTCTGTAACTCTGCCTCTCAAATAAATAAATATTAAACAAAAAAAATCTAGAGCCTAAAGCTCAACATAGTATAATTGGCTTTCATTGTATCAGATGAAAGTGATAAAAATGTCTTTCAGAGTTCACAAATACAGTATAATTATAAGTAAGTCTCATTTTTCATTTTTCAGTGAGTATAACAAATACTATACTTGAAGTTTGTGGAAATGGAACGGAAAATTATTTTGATTTAAAAAAGCTGAAATCCATGCATAAAAGGGTCTTCAAAAATTTAGTGGAAAATGCATGATGAAAAACCATGCATGGATTTCAAAAAATGTTTTCACCAAAATAAACTTATCTCTTCATTCCTTTTTTCCATTAACTTTTTGAAATACTTCTTATAGGAGGCCAGATACTAATTTCAATGATAAGACCATTCCTCAATACAGATTTTGAAACTGTCTTCAAATTTGTCAATATAGACAATTTTCAACCCACTTTTCCTTTGCTATGGTCTGGATATTAGTTTGGATGTTAACTGTTCCCTAGAGGCTCATGTGCTAAGGGTTAACGCATTCTGTCCATAGTACTAAGAGGGTAGAAAAATCCACTTGTAGTGTTTCGAGGTGAGGTCTTTGGGGGAGTAATTAGACTAGATTAGTTTGTTAGGGTAGGGCCCATCCTAGTGACTTTTTTTTTTTTTTTTTTTTTGACAGGCAGAGTGGACAGTGAGAGAGAGAGACAGAGAGAAAGGTCTTCCTTTTTCCGTTGGTTCACCCCACAATGGCTGCTGAGGCTGGCGCGCTGTGACCGGCACACTGCACCGATCCAAAGCCAGGAGCCAGGTGCTTCTCCTGGTCTCCCATGTGGGTGCAGGCCCAAGGACCTGGGCCATCCTCCACTGCACTTGCAGGCCACAGCAGAGAGCAGGACTGGAAGAGGAGCAACTGGGACAGAATCCGGCGCCCCAACCGGGACTAGAACCTGGTGTGCCGGCACCACAGGAGGAGGATTAGTCTATTGAGCCACCACTCTGGCCCTAGTGACTTCTTATGAGAAGAGGCAGACACATACATGATGTTCTGTACCACTATGGCGCTCCATCAGCAAGAACACCCTCAGCAGACACCAGACCAGTGGGTACCTGATCTTAGACTCAAAACTGTGAGCCAATAAGCCTCTCTCCTTTATAAAGTTAGGTTGCCTCAGGTATTTCACAGTAGTGATGAAAAGCTGACTGACTGATACACTCCATCACTCTCTTTTTTTTTTTTTTAACATTTAGTAGCGACAGGCAGAGTAGACAGTGAGAGAGAGAGGGACAGAGAGAAAGGTCTTCCTTTTTCCGTTGGTTCACCCTCCAATGGTTGCCACAGCCGGCGCACTGCACTGATCCGAAGCCAGGAGCCAGGTGCTTCTCCTGGTCTCCAATGGGGTACAGGGCCCAAGGATTTGGGCCATCCTCCACTGCACTCCGGGCCACAGCAGAGAGCTGGACTGGAAGAGGGACAACTGGGACAGAATCCGGTGCCTGACTGGGACTAGAACCCAGTGTACCAGCGCTGCAGCCGGAGGATTAGCCTATTGAACCGCGGCGCCAGCCACATTCTTTTTCTTAATATACTGCACATACCACATCATACACAACTTACATCCTTTTTATGCAGAAAGTGGCATTACTGAATCAGAACACCCATTTATTAATCAAACTAATAAAAGAACAAAATTTGGCTAACTCCCCAAACCAAATCCATTCTTAGAAGACATAAATATCCCAATCCTAACAATATTCAAAATAGTGTTGGTATAAAATACCAAAGACAAATTCTAAAATATTTTAGGCAATGGCAGCCCTTCTGGAAGAAGTTGAATTACAAACCAAGATCCCAACTTGTAAGACAACAAAATTTAATTGGAAGTAAAAATTAAGCCATGCTTACTCAAGTACCAGCTGCATTACTTTAACAATGGTAACAAGCAGCACTATGTAGTGCTTTTCTATTTATAAATGAGTTCCCATTTTTCTCACTGGAGCCCTAAAGTAACCCTGTGAAGTTATTCAGATAAAGAAAAGGAAAGGCCTTTGATTTCTGTTCTTTTCCCCTTCCTGCTGCCTCAAGTGGTGATGGCCAATGTGATCTTGAAGCCCTGGGCTGAAGACCTAACTCTATCGGCCAGGGTCCTTGAATGACTGTGTGGAGGAGAGCTACTTATCATTGTGTATTGCTTATCTAGTAGTCTTTTTGTGGGAGAGAAACTGTTTTTCCGTTTAAGCCATACTGTTTGGAATCTCTCACTACATCTTCCCCTTTTACCCTTTCTTTCTGAATACACCCTCACCATTTACATACCATTTGTTATGACTTTGTCAAGTAAACCATGTGGAGGGCAAGCCAATATTTCTCTCAGCATTTGTAAATTACTTGACTCAGTTGGTGTTTCTTGCAGCTTTTTTTCACCACTATTCAATAGAATGCTTCCTTCTGTTGGTTCATTTCCTTTGAGGTTCATAACTGCCTCCTCCTGTATTTAAAATAATTTATTTATTTATTGGAAATGCAGATCCGTGTGCATACACACACACACACACACACACACATACAGGAGGAGAAAGAAAGAGGAAGAACTCCTATCCAGTGGTTTACTCCTCAATGCCTGGAATGGCCAATCTACCTCTTCCATGTGGGTAGCAGGAACTCATTACTTGAGCCATCACTGCTGCCTCCCAGGGTCTGCATTGGCAGGAAACTGGAGTTAGGAATAAGAATTGGGTTCCAAACCCAGGTACTCTGAAGTGGGATGAGGGTATCTTCACTGGTATCTTAACTTCTAGGTCAGACATCTGCCCCTAAAAAAAAAGCCCTTAAAACTACTTTTCTACACATTTTAAAGTTACTAGTTCATCATATTTCAAATCAAATCTCCATTACTAGAATCACAGACAACATTTCATAATGAAAACACACACTCTCATCTCTAGCTAATTAGTTTAGGGGGTGGAACAAGGACTATGTTAGGAGTACTTATCAATGAAACAATATTTTTAGTACTATAAGCACTTGGGTCACATAAACTTCCATATTGATTTTATAATACTAGGTTTAAAAACCAGCCTATTTAAGATAGAATTCAGCACAATAGTTGGTAATAACACAAGTGGTCCAAGGAAAAGATAACTATCTGTAATGAAAACCAATTCATATTCACTTATCTACTTGAATTTAAGCAATAAAAAAAAGAGAGGGAAGAAATCAAAACCATCCTAGGGATCAGGCCAGGACTAAAACCATTTCATAGGCTCTTTGTTTTTCCAGCCTCAAGTAGCACTAGCTGCTAAAGACCACAGCTGGGAAAACTGGTAGTGGTACCTATTCTGCACTGTATAGTTTGGGAATGAATAATGGAGAGAGAACTGTTAACTGAATGGTAGAGAATGAAGAGAACATGGTTCTGTCATAGCTTGGACATATATAGTCTCTTCCTTAAACAAATGGTGGAGATGTTCTACATTTTATCACAGACTTACCTGCGATTCTTGACAAGTAGTGGCTGTGTGGTTCATCTCTGTGGATGGGCCTGCATCCTCACATTCAATTGTTTTATCTTCATCCTTCATGATTTATAATTGAGAAGAGGGAAGAGGAACAAGGTCTGTTTTGAAGGGGAAACAGAATAGACACAGAACAGCAATTTGAGCATCTCTGGGTGTAAGTGAATAAACTACTTATTTCTTCCCTTGGAACACTGAATGACAATAGACTATACTTAACTTTCAAATTGTAATCTTTTGATTCATTCCAATATATTATCCTCATTGTTTTGTACCTTTTCGCTTATGTTGAAAAAGCCCTGAATGACCAATTGCATTTTCATTTCTTGATTTTCTTTATTTCTTCATTGCTTTTTTTTAAAAGATTTATTTATTTTACTTCAAAGAATTACATAGAGAGGGGAGAGGAAGAGACAGAGGAGAGAGAGAGAGAGAGAGAGAGAGGTCTTCCATCTGCTGGTTCACTCCCCAGATGGCCGCAATGGCCAGAGTTCGCCGATCCGAAGCCAGGAGCCAGGAACTTCTTCCGGTCTCCCACGTGGGTGCAGGGGCCCATGGACTTGGGCCATCTTGTACTGCTTTCCCAGGCCATAGCAGAGAGCTGGATCAGAAGAGGAGCAGCTGAGTATCAAACTGGCGCCCATATAGGATGCAGGCACTGCAGGCGGTGGCTTTACCCGCTACGCCACAGTGCCGGTCCCTCTCCCTTGCTTTTAAGTTATACTTCAAACATCCTGAACAATAACTAAAAATTATCCCCTCTGATGGGTCACCTTGATAAAGCAGGAAAATTCCAGGTAATTTTCCAAGGCAGACATGAGGCATGAGTCACCAAAGGGAAATCTCTGGATTCCATTATTTCCAGAGAAATCAGAGTCATTAATTCCTGCTTCGTGCTTACTTCTAAATTAAAATGTAAAACATAACCCCACTGACTGTGTTGCCACAATGCCTAGACACTCTGATAAATGGTAGTCATGGCTAGTAATTACAGGCAATTTGAAGTTACCAAAGTACACTCTGTTCTCTGAAGATTTACAGCATAACAGGAAAGATCAACGTATACCAAGTACCTACAATCCTGTAAGGCAGACTGTAGGCTGATAAATAAACAACCACTTCAAACATTTCTGCCTGGACTTTCCAAGCTATAGAGGCTGAGAGGACAAACACTCCAAATCCTAGCCACTTTTGTGGCTAGAGGTGGCCATGTGTCATAGATTTATGTATGAGATCTAAGTGGGAGTCTTCGGGGAAGCCTCTAGAGGAATATAATTTTTGCTGTCTGCCTTCTAACATTTCTCTTTCTAGAATGTAGATACAATGACTGGTGGCATAACAGTCATATTTCAACCTTGACAATAGCAGCCCCGTATCTGGGATAGTAGATAAGTAAGACAGGAGGAGCTGTTTCCTCAATGCTATCTATGAGTTGCTGCATCAGTCATGGGCTGTCAACTTTTGAGGTAACTGTTAAGCCACTATTAGTAAAATTTTCTTTTTATGAGCAACCAAACTTATTCCTAATGCAGCCAGTATGGTGAGTTTTATAACAGAGGTACAAACTAAAAACTTAGGTAGAATCAAAGACAAAATTACACAAGAGAAGGGAAAACTCTAATTCAGCACATATTTGGGAGCCTAATATATGCCAGGCACTAGACAGGGCCAGAAGGACAGGGATGATTCAGACTGCAAAAAGGAATCAATTTCCTAGTCTAATAAAGGGCCAAGATGTTTGTATTTAAAATTTCAGAGAACATCATAATCTCACCACCACCATTATGATCTTCTTTACAAAACACAGTGATAGCAGGGTGGCATTTCAGAAAATCTTCAGACTTTTATCCTATACAAAATATAGATTTATGTTTATATAATACTATGTATGTATATGCATTTTTTTAAAGATTTATTTATTTATTTCAAAGGCAGAGTTACAGAGAGGCAGAGGCAGAGAGACAGAGAGAGAGGTCTTCCTTCCACTGGTTCACTCCCCAAATGGCCACAATGGCCAGAGCTGGGCTGATCTGAAGCCAGGAGCCATTAGCCTTCTCTGGGTTTCCCACACGGGTGCAGGGGTCCTAGGACTTGGGCCATCTTCTACTGCTTTCCCAGGCCATAAGCAGAGAGCTGGTTGGAAGTGGAGCAGCTGTGGCTGGACCCAGCACCCATATGGGATGCCAGCACTGCAGGCAGCAGCTTTATGGGCTATGTCGTCACAGGGCCAGCCTCACATTATTTTTAAATTTAAGAAGTTACTCCAACATTTAGTTTGATAACGAGAAAGACAATTACTTTAACAGGAAGATGTTGGATTCACGGCATTTGTCTTAAAGGCATGGCAGTCTGAAAGCCAGAAGGGTTGAAGGGAAACTGTGCTGGAGCCTGTGGCCAGCAGCTGAGAGTGATAGATGAGGTTAGAGAGCTGGGGTATTATACCCCAAACCACAGAAAATTACCCCTAACATCACAGTAAGTGGCGAAATCTGCTGGCTCAGGCGGTGGACGAGCCTGCATCTGAAGTCCAGCTCCATCATACCCCAAACTACTTAGCCTTTGTGTGACTTACTCCTTACCTATAAAATGGGGTCAGTCAGAGTTGCAACTGTGCACATGTTTAGCATGCAGTAGTGCTGGTTACTGCTGACCACTTAGATCCCTCTTCCATGACCACCGCAAATCTCTGGGAATCTTTCTGCCCTTCCCACTGCACAGGACAAGGTCTCCCAAATCTTGAGGAAGTCACTCCTCAATCCCATTGACTTTGATTTTGAATCTCTTTCAAGATCGATTTCTGGCTTAGGTGCATATTACACTGACTGCTGTCATATTTTCATCTTCCTTATTAGAATTACATTAAAGTTCTTAGCAATGCCACCAGAATCACCTCTTTTATCAAATTCACAAAATCAGCCAATTTTGCCATTTAGGCAGAACATTTTAAAATGGTAACCAAGTATAAGAGGTTAAAAGGAAAGCTTCAAGAACTGATTTCTTTAATGTTATTTATGATCCTCTTAAACATAAAAATCACAACTTGGCATGTTGCACGGTGGGAATTTATATAGTTTATATAGTTTCATGCTCCAAACAAAATCTCCCTATTCTCCCATCATCTTCACCACAGTGTTTACTGGAATCCTTGGGAAAGAACGCTCTTTTTGTAAGGATTTCTAAGTCCAGACTTGCTATTGAAAATCCTCAAGACACTCAAGATAAGCCTTCCAAAGAATGATGTGGTCACAAAGCAAAGCAGACTCTTTATCTAGAAAGAGAAATTAATAACCACATTGTTGGAACATCCAGAAGCACCTGCTTTTCTGCTAGGCGAGCCAATCAGTTCCTTTAATTAAGCAAGTTTTGAGTTGGGTGTCTGAACTTGCTCCTAAATGAATCCTCAACAAGAACCTTCACACCTGAATCGGCCCCAAAAGATCTTCTGTTAATAATAGCTGATTTGAAAAGCGGTTCTGCAACCTCAAGAAAATGAAAAGAAAAAACAATGGGAATATTGTCTGTTTTAAAAAACATTAAATATATAGTATAATTTAGAGATTTGCATTAAAGAGAATGCTTAAACCAAAATTTGGTATGTAATAAAATAGTTGTCAGTTATTCAGAACACTAATTTCAGTGAAATGCTATGCTTTTCAAAATTTTTTAAACTAGTTTTCATTGTGCCTGGGAGGAGGGAGAAGGAAGGGAATATTATTAGATTCTTACAATTGTATCTATAAATCAGATTGAATCTGTTAAATATTAACTAAAAATTAAAATTAACAATTTAAAAAAATAAAATAAAATCCAAACTAAACTACTTCCTTTGTCCCAAAGTTTTTTTTTTTTATTTTTTTAACTTTTATTTAATGAATATAAATTAACAAAGTACAGCTTATGGATTACAATGGCTCCCCCCCCAATGAATTCCCTTCCCCCGCAACGCTCCCCTCTCCCGCTCTCTCTCCCCTTCCATTCACATCAAGATTCATTTTCAATTCTCTTTATATACAGAAGATCAATTTAGCATATATTAAGTAAACCTTTCAATAGTTTGCACCCACACAGACACACAAAGTGAAAAATACTGTTTGAGTACTAGTCATAGCATTAAATCTCGATGTACAGCACATTAAGGACAGAGATCCTACATGAGGAGTAAGTGCATAGTGACTCCTGTTGTTGACTTAACAATTTGACACTCTTGTTTATGGCATCAGTAATCACCCTAGGCTCTTGCCATGAGTTGCCAAGGCTACAGAGGCCTTTTGAGTTTGCCAACTCTGATCATATTTAGACAAGGCCATGGTCAAAGTGGAAGTTCTCTCCTCCCTTCAGAGAAAGGTACCTCCTTCTTCGATGACCTGTTGTTTCTACTGGGATACCACTCGCGGACATCTTTCATTTGTTGTTGTTGTGTTTTTTTTGTTGTTGTTTTTTTGTGTTTTTTTTTTTGCCACAGTATCTTGGCTTTCCATGCCTGAAATACTCTCATGGGCTTCCCATGTTGGATCGTTCTCTCCCTTTTTTATTCTATCAGTTAGTATTTGCAGACACTACTCTTGTTTATGTGATCACTTTGACTCTTAGTCCCATCATTCTGATCAATTATGAACAGAAATTGATCACTGGGACTAGTGAGATGGCATTGGTACATGCCACCTTGATGGGATTGAATTGGAATCCCCCGGCACGTTTCTAACTCTACCATTTGGGGCAAGTCTGAATGAGCATGTCCCCAATTGTACATCTCTTCCCTCTCTTATTCCCACTCTTATATTCAACAGGGATCACTTTTCAGTTAAGTTTCAACACTTAAGAATAACTGTGTATTAATTACAGAATTCAACCAATAGTATTAGTATTAAGTAGAACAAAAAATACTAAAAGGGATAAAGTATTAAGTTGTTCATCAACAGTCAGGGCAAGGGCTGAACAAGTCACTGTTTTTCATAGTGTCCATTTCACTTCAACAGGTTTCCTTTTTTGTGGTTGGTTAGTTATCACTGATCAGGGAGAGCATATGATATTTGTCCCTCTGGGACTGGCTTATTTCACTCAGCATGATGTTATCCAGATTCCTCCATTTTGTTGCAAGTGA